GTTCTAAATATTGAAACTTGAAATTACAAGTAGCATAGTGACTTGATTTGCATTGTATCACAAAAATTAAAGAGGCTTTAGAAGTCTAAGATTCTTGGTCTAGGACAGGGATTGGCAAACTGTGGCCTGTGGGCTGGGTCCAACTTGATGCCTGTTTTTGTAAATAAAATAAATGTGTTTGTTATGTGTTATCTGTGACTGCTTTCATATTACAGTGGCAGACTTGAATTGTCACAACAGAGACTGGCTCACAAAGCCTAAAATATTTATTATCTGGCCCTTCACAGGAGAAGTTTGCTGACCCCTAGTCCATTACTCTCTAAGCAGTAATACAGTGAATCATTTCTGTCTGGGTGGAAACTCATAATGTTACCTCAGAGACTCAGAGTCGCCACTCATGATAATAGGAAATTAGAACTCACCTTAAAGGCCTTTTGTCTTAAAAGTATAATAATATATTCATTGAGATAACATTGTGGACACAATACTCATCACCATCAGAAACAAGCACTTTTTGTGCTTATTTGAGTACTTAAGTTAGTCATGTAGAGGTATGCAGTCCTCCCAATAGTCTTCTAAAAACCACTGTATAAATTTATCCCCATCTATCTCTTTTTGCTTGTGTAGCCCCTCCTTGCCTTAAGAGTAATGCTACAAAAGTGAGAAGTCAGTTAAGATAGGCCAGCCCGGTGGCGCACTGCTACAGTGCGCCGCTTGGGAGCGCGGTGGCGCTCCCGCCAAGGGTTCGGATCCCACATACAGACCGGTTCCCGCTCACTGGCTGAGCAAGGTGTGGGTGCAACGCTGAGGGTTGCGATCCCGTTGCCGGTCCCAGTCCGGTACGGGCGCGACACTGAGGGTTGCGATCCATTGCCAGACACGAAAAAAGACAAAAAGGAAAAAAAAAAAAGATAGAGTATCAGGATTAGGCTTGGAGGACACAGAATGGAGGGGGGTTGGAGCTCAAAGAAGAATAGTATCCAAGAAATTTGAGGCCTCCTTTGTTGTTAGTACCTGCAGGTCTAAAAAACCCTGTAGATAATTTGTCCTTCTAGTAATCATCTTCTTCCAAGATACATAGCTATGTTTAGAAAAATGAGAGTGACATCAAGAATGCAATAGGAGTTTCTTAGGTGAGTACTATTCTTGATGCACTTAATTCTGTGTCATGTGGTGAGGATTTTTATGGATAGGACAAGTTAGAGAATCCCATTAATTTCTCATGTATTTTATCAGTATTTTGCCAGTGTTTACTTAGAATTTGCCCATACTGTTTATGGCTTCAGGCAAAATGCTTCAAGTATCCTTGGTCTTTAAGTCAGTATCCAATTTTATTATCTTCCTGTTGCTCATCACTTATTTATTGACCTATGGTTGTTAATTTGAAATTCTCCTACCTCAAAAAAAGGTTTTTCAAAAATTTAATTTTTGAAGGCAATAGCCATCATTATTAAATATTCAGAACTGTGAAATGCCAGGTGTCTTAACTTTTTTTTGCCTTTAGAGATGCTATCTCATGGCTATATCATTTTCACGAGTCTGAAGTATCAGCTTCCAGTCTTGTTTATTTTGTCATAAATTGATTTTTTTCCTCCTCAAATCATGACAGAGCCATTCTGTCAGATATAATTAATTATGACGTGGGAATTGAATCATCATGAGATGGCTTAGTTTATAATCAAAATTCATGTAAGGAGGACACATGTCACTGATGTTCTGCTTTTTTCCAGTTTATATTCATTAGAAATAATCAGTATTTAAATGGGATTATTTTTCTTAATGCAGAATTATATTAAAATACGTTAATAAGGTTAATAATAAGGGCACATTTTACTTTGTATCAAAGTTTAGGGTCTGGGTGGTTACCTCAGTTGGTTAAAACTTGGCGTTGGTAACACCAGGGTCAAGGATTTGAATCCCTGTACCTTCCAGCCACCCCCCACCCCCAGAAAAGAAAAGAAGTTTAAATATGATGGGTTTTTTTGTTTTGTTTTGTTTTTCTTTTTGTATTTTTTTCGTGACCGGCAACGGATTGCAACCCTCAGTGTCGCGCCCGTACCGGACCGGGACTGGCCACAGGATCGCAACCCTCGGTGTCACGCCCGCACCTCGCTCAGTCAGTGAGCGGGAACCGGTCTGTATGTAGGATCCGAACCCTCGGTGGGAGCACCGCCGCGCTCCCAAGCGGCGCACTGTAGCAGTGCGCCACTGGGCCAGCCCTAAATATGATGGTTTTAATCTCAAATGAGATATGTAAAATTGCTATGTATATCAAGAAAACTTGTAAAATTTAAGATGTTCTTAGTCTTTATAAACCAGTAGCAATAATGTACTTATTTCTGTTTAGGTTATTTTTTAATCTGCCTTTAGTAGGTTATCATATTAGTACATTAAAATATTAAGCTTTTCATGGAAACCTTAAGCTATACATTTTTTAATGTAAATTTTTTCTGATTTGTCTTCTGAATAAAATTTGGTATTTCTGAAGTGCTATCATTTCCAAATCCAAAGATATAAGAGAAACATAGAATTGTTCTTTTGGAGTTAGTTGGGAATACACCATTAAGCCCTCTTCCTGTATTAGTTTGTGCTGACAAGTGCCATGTGTATTTTTCAGAACATAAACATGCTCCTGAAGTTTGTAGGCAGACAAAAGCTTCTTAAAGAAAAAAATAAGACACTGTTGAATTTATGCACATCTATTAAAATCATAGCCTTGCTTGTGGTGACTGGTGAAAAAAAATTTTTTTTTAATTATAGCCTCCCTTTTGTTAGACATGTTTTATGCTTCTGTTTAAATTTTTTAATTTTGTTACAGTCCTTGTTAGTCATTGGTTTGTATAGAAGCATTCAAAGTTATAGACTTGAAATAAAACTACTCAATTTTTCCAGCTCTTTTTCAAGAAAAGCTTTTTTTCTTTGTATTATTTATTTAAAATGCAACTATTTCTGTATAAGTTTAATACTTGACATCTGTACATAAATGACAAAATGGTAGTATAATGACTATATTCTTTCAGTGTTCCATTTGAAAATTAAAATGACAGTATCTTTGGTTGGTTTTAGTTGCATGTAAATATTATATTTAATATTCCAAGAAAAGAATTTACATTGCTAAAAATCCCATGGAAAGCTTAAATACTCAGGATATAGTGCAATAATTTAAACTCTATTGAGTATGGAATTAACTTATTTCTAAAATATATACAAATTATATGGTCTTACTGAACTTCACACACAGTAGCCAAGCCCTCCCTGCTCTTTGTTAATCTGTGATTTAGTCATTTAACATAGGTTTATAATTCTTCTGCATTTATGCAATCCGTGATTTTGATCAGGTATTTCTTTTTTTTTGTTAATATAAGTTTAGTTATGATAGCACAGCCAATCTTTGATTATGTGATAAATGAGGAAAGAGCAGAGCATAAAAAAATTAAAATTTAAAAATAATTTTTAAATTTCAGTTGAGCCAGTATTTTTATGTAATTTGTTTTTTCCCTAGCAATTTCTGCAACCCACCCTATCACTTCAAAAAAATTTTCAGTGGTACAGTGCACATTTAATAAGTAGACTAATTGACAGCTTGTATTATTTTGTTTTAGTTCATTAATCTGTTTAGAAGTGCAAAGAATGAATGACTCATGACTAAAAGATGGGGAGAAAAAGCAGCCTTATCCACATGCTGAATAATCCTCCCTTGAAAAAATACAGCAAATTTTATATATTTTATCTCGTGACCCATAGAAAGTACTCAAATAATCCTATTTAGTAAAGTTTTTTTTTTTTTTTCTGTTTCTACTCCTTTTAAAGAACGAACTAATGGTTGATATGTTCTGTAAACCATTAGTTATATAATTAGTATATTATGGGGTTCTTTCATTGTCATTTTTTGAAGTATTTCACTTGTGTAAAAATCCTTATTGCATACTGTTTGCAATATAGCATGGAAAAATCTTACTTTTAGCCCTGCCATAAAGTTGAAATTGCCCTTAAGATTCATTATATTTATAACTTCAGTAATTCCTTCCACCTAGTAAAAAAACAAAAACAAAAAACAAAACTTATAAATACTCAAAAAAACAGCCTGGACTAGACTTAAATGGTTGCAAAGTTATATACCTCATTCTCTTTACCATTCTGGAAATTTATATTAATTTGTTAATGCTCCTTCACCGTTCATATGGCTACCATAGATCCTCAGGGTGAGCAATGCATTTCAGGAAGTATCCAGATTTTTAAAATTCCGTTTAAAAAATCATTTTATATTATAAAGTTAATTTTAAGAGAGTTGGTTTTTAAACCTATATTACTTTGTTACCAATATAATTTCTAAACCCTTATCAGTTTTATCGAGCTATAGTAATTGATATTCCTAAATTTTTCATAGAGCTCTTGTGGTAGAATCATATAACTAGTAATGTTTATTAAATATTATAATTTAATTATCACCAGCATTGTTATAGCTCGTTCAGTTCATTGAACGTCCTTAGATCCATTTTGACACTTCCATTTATTCTTCAAAAACACCAGGAGGCAGTCACACAGGACACACTTCCATTTATTCTTCAAAAAAACACAGGAGGCAGTTTTGTTTGCAGTTTGAACTATCTTGAAACTTAAGCAGCTTTGCAAATTTCCACTCACCACCTGCAAGTAGTGGTCAGGTGACTTTTAAACAACATCAGGTTCATTCATATGATTAGTTGAATTTGTTGAGAATGTGCTGGTAGGATAAAAGGAAGAGACTGGTATTGCAAAGCTGACTCTTAAATCCCTTACTTTACATATCTGATTATATAAGTTGACATTTACCCCACTATCTAGCACTCCTTATCAATTCACATCATGATGAATTATATGCAGATCATTGTTTTTAAAAATATTTTTTTAAAAAGGTTATAGTATATTTTCTTAAAATGTTAAGTCATAAAATTTAGTTTATCATGAAGGGAAAATTGTGAGTATTCTAATGGCTTTCAAAAAAATTATTTATTTACTAGGTAAGTTTTCTTCTGCGCTCTATGAGACTGGTGGCTGTGATATGTCACTTGTGAATTTTGAACCAGCAGCAAGAAGAGCATCCAATATCTGGTATGTGTGAAGTCATATTAGGAGTGTGTGTGTACTTCCATATTTTTGCCATGTTTGAAGTTTTTGAGCCTTGAGATATAAGTTAATTTTTTTGTTTTTTATAATTTATTTTTTTCTAGTTGACATAAAAATTATATATATTCATGGCATACAACATGATGTTTTGAAACATTGTATGTACATCGTGGAATGGCTAAATTGAGCTAACATGGATTACCTCACTTATTTTTATTGTGGTGAGACCACATATCTGTTCTCTTAACAGTTTTCATGTTTACAGTTTTTGTTAACTATAGTTACCGTGTCAGATATAAAAGTTATTTTGAGGGGCCGGCCTGTGGCTCACTCGGGAGAGTGCGGTGCTGATAACACCAAGGCCACGGGTTCGAATCCCATATAGGGATGGCCGGTTTGCTCACTGGGTGAGCGTGGTGCTGACAACACCAAGTCAAGGGTTAAGATCCCCTTACCGGTCATCTTTAAAAAAAAAAAAAAAAAAGTTATTTTGAAAATATGTTTATATTGACTCCAGTAGTTTTTTTTGTTTGTTTGTTTGTTTTTTTGGTGTTTTGTTGACAATTTGTCATAGTGTATTTGTTTCCAAAAATTAAGGTAGAATGTTTTTGCTATGGAAAAAAGAAAGCATAATTTTTTATAATAAAAGCTGTTCTGTGTTAAAAAAAAATTTAAATCAAAATTTCCTGAAGATCTTGTAATAGGACAGCGTTTTCCTACAATTTTGCATTTAACTGTAAGATTTTATGCTCTCTCTCTATTGTATGATGTAAAAATACTTATCAGAAAAATATTGACATAACTAAATCCAAACCCATCAAGGTATTTCTCCTTCTTCATGTAATTTAAAAATTTTATTTCCTTGTAAGGGTTTGGTCAAGTGTCTGTCTATCTATCTATCTCTTTATTTTCAGTGGCTGGCTGGTAAGGGGATCTGAACCCTTGACTTCTGTGTTATCAACACCATTCTCTAACCAGCTGAGCCAACTGGCCAGCCAAGTATCTTTTTAAATAATCAACTTTCATTTTGTTTTAAAATTTTTTTTCTAGCTTTAAGGAGGAATTTCTTAAAATATGTGTCATATGTTAAATTTAGCTTCTTTTTTCTTTTTTCCTTAGAAGGAATTTGTAAGGTAATGAAGAAGTTAGGAGAAAAGCAGATAAATTAGAAATCTTGATCATATAACATAATCAATTATAGTATTAGAATGTGGTAAAATTTTGTTTTCTAAAATTTTATTATTATTTTTCATCTATTCAAATTGCTGCTTTGAAATCCATTATTGATCATCAATTATAGTATTAGAATGTGGTAAAATTTTGTTTTCTAAAATTTTATTATTATTTTTCATCTATTCAAATTGCTGCTTTGAAATCCATTATTGATCAGTTAGCTCACTTTTCTCACAAGGGTCATTTGATTCTTATTTTAGGACTTTAATAATGGGTCACATCTATTTAAATGTTACATGTCTATGGGCAGTTTACTTTTTAAGTTTTGAGGGACCATTTAAAGAATAGGACCTTGTAGTCATTTAGCTCATGATGCTGAAAAGATAGAACACGTAGATAACGATATTTTTAAGCTCCTTTAATCCCATTTCAGAAATCACCCTGTCAAAAGTTGTTAAATTGGAGTATTACCTGATTTGTAACAGCAGAAACAATAGGGGAATGGATGCCTGGAACCACCGTTACTAGTATGATTCAAGAGAAGAACAATTTCTTCCACTATAAATGTGGTAAAGCCTCAAATCTTGAAATCCAAATGACCGAACCATGGAAACTGAATTGTAATGTTCTAAGTTATGTTATATTATAGCTTAATTTTATTGTGTCTTTACTGGTTCCAGGCAATATGTTATAATTGCTTTCTTTTGATTATTTTATTAAACACTTTCCCAAGAATCTTGTGATACAAGTACTATTATTGATGAGAAAACTGAGGTATAAAGAGGTAGGGTAACTTGTTCAAGATCTCATCAGTTGAAGCAGAGATTTGAAGGTAGATGCTGTGACCCACAGGCTATGCTCTTAGTCACAGTTCCAGGAGAATGTTATTTTTCCATTTGAAGTTACATGGAAAAGTGGAGATACTGTAAATATCACCTAATTGTTAAAGTATTTATTTTTCTTTCTACATTTTGACAAGCTGTTTATTCCCTAAAGTCTTTTTCATTTTATTTTAGTGACACGGATTCTCATGTATCCAGTTCTACCTCAGTTCGATTTTATCCACATGATGTGGTAGGTTTTTCTTTATTTTTATAACACAATATGTTTTCAGGTTAAATCTGAAATATGTACTTATACAGATAGCTATAAAAGTCAGAAAAATTGAAGTTACAAAATGTCAATTAGTTAAAAACTATGGCAAAATCACTTTTGCTGTCCCACAGTGGATTTCTTCTTATAAGTCATTTGATAAGAAACAAACATAAAACACCATGAAGTTTAATTAGCCATTTGTATGAATCAGAAATTACACATTTTGAGGGTATTTAATGGTCCATTTACTCACCAACATCATAATCTGGTTGTGCCATTTTTAATTGTGCCATTTTCTAACCTCACTTTAAATATTATCATTTTGGTTTAGTTAGTTAATTATTGTTTAATATTACTATTCATATACCAGTGTATGGGGGGATGCTTAGTAATGACATTACTGTATAAAAATTATGCCATATGAGATAAAGTGGGAATTAAAAAAAGCAGTGCTATTTACATCAAGATGGAAAAGACAAAACGGATAAAATCCTAATAAGCAACACTTCTAAATACATGTAATAAATTTAGTGCCGAGGGGATTAATTTTTAACAGCTTCCTGAAGATGAGTTGTGAGCAGGGTTTTAAGACCATGGATGAGAATTGACATAGAGCAGTGGCTTTCAACCAGTAGACATTTGGCAATGTCTGAAAACATTTTTGCTTTTCACTACTGGGGTTGTGCTGCTGGTATCTACTGGATAAAGGCCAGAGTTAAACATCCCACAGAAGAGGGCACAGAATTATCTGGGCCAGAATTTCTATAGTGCCAAGGTTGAGAAACCCTGGCATAGAGGATAAGCAAAAAGTATTTTGAGAAGTTTTTTTTTTTTTTTTTTTTTTTTGGGGGCTGGCTGGTAAGGGGATCTGAATGTTTTGGGAAGCATTTGTTAATGCTTAGAGATAGAAATGGCTGTGTTATATACAGGAAGCAAATTTTCTTGACAATACCCACATATGTATTTGGAAAGTAAAGACTGTTCCTACTTTTTTGCTGGAAACTTCATAGGAAAGGAAAAATGGGAAGATGATTATTTTGTTGTTTTCTACTTTGAAATGTGTGGAATCTCGAGATAGCAAAATGCTGCCCAGTGCTGTTCTAGATAAAGTAAATTTTTAGTTCTTTCAAAGGAAGGGGAGACTGATGAATGGATGAATTAAAGCTAAAAGAAATGTAATGTAGTAATTTCTTGCATTGCCTTAGGTGAGGAGCCTGCCAAAACAAAAAGGGAGAGGAGATGATTTGAAAACAATAATAAAAGTGATGAGACTATAGGAAGAAATGAGAGTTGAAGCATTGTAGCAGAGTTCAGATTTGACACCAATAGTGAGGTTCATAGCTTAATGATGAAAGACCATAAATCTGACAGAGAAGAAAAGCCACTAATGATTCACTATAAATGATTTAAATGGATTTAGTAGATATACAGTCATAAAAATCTTATGGTCTATTAATATTAATTTGCTTTGTTTTAGTTCACTTATTATTGTCACCTTCTGTAGTTTATAATGATCATAAAATATTCACAAGGAGTGGACTGTAGTAGAGAATTAAGGGGCTTATATAATCTGCAAACTGACTAACTCTCAAATCGTGGTTCTATTAAAGATATTTTTAGCCTTTCAGTGCTGACTTTCTTTTAGCTCTCTCTCCCACAGATTCGATTGAATAGACTATTGACCATTGATACAGATTTGTTGGAGCAACAGGACATTGATCTAAGCCCTGACTTGGCAGCTACTTATGGTCCAACAGAAGAAGCTGCCCAAAAGGTTAAACACTATTACCGCTTTTGGATCCTGCCCCAACTATGGATTGGCATTAACTTTGACAGACTCACACTTTTGGCCCTGTTTGATAGGTGAGAATATAGTGTGATATTAAAGATATGTGCAGACTTTATTTTTAGTTGAAGTGTCTCTAATTACCCATTGAGGTTTTTACCTGGTTATCATGTTGCAAAATGTTTTCTATTTTTGTCCTCTTGAGATAAAACTTAAAGTAATTAGGGCTTCCAAACATCTATTCTCTTAAATCCATTAAAACGTTTTTTGTTGCAATTTTAATGTTTATAGAAAAATATCCTTTTTATTATCATTAAAACTCTTAGAACTGGTACTTAAAAGCCAGAGACTATGAAATGTTGATGATCTTAAGATTATAGGTAATATGATTCTAAGTATAAAAGTTATAAGAGAGGGCCGGCCCGGTGGCGCACTGGAGAGTGCGCCGCTTGGGAGTGCAGCAGTGCTCCCGCCAAGGGTTCGGATCCCATGTGGAGACCGGTTCCCGCTCACTGGCTGAGCGCGGTGTGGGCGCAACACCAAGGGTTGCGATCCCGTTGCCGGTCCCCGGTACAGATGCAACACCGAGGGTTGCGACACCGAGGGTTGCGATCCCGTTACCGGTCAGTAAAAAAGACAAAAAGAAAAAAAAAAAAATAATAATAATAATAAAGCCCTCAGAACCTTATAAGAGAAAACTTCTGTTTCCCTGTTTTTTAGCACTATTGTTTAATGGTAAGTATATTAGTTTATTACAAACTTGGAGAGCAGCAGCTGCTTCTAGTCAATATGGAGGAAGTAATAGGACTGTGTTTATCTCCCATGTGAAACAACCAAAGATAGACAAAATACATGAAACAGTGGTTTCCAATACATTAGATATAACAAAGGACAAAGTGATCCCTGAGAGATGAGAAACAAATGATGTGAGACTTGCAATTGCCCCAGCTTAATGCCTGAGAGAGTTCCTAGGCTGTAACACAGGGAGTGGGAACTAAGGAAGAGTCCAGCAGACTTCCTGAGTTGAGGAGATGGAACTAAAAGTACAGGGAGGCTGAGGCAACTAGAGTCCGTAGGACAGAATATTAAGAGAGGAGAGAGCTGCTCAGAGAGAGAACCTCAGAGATCCCCAGTGGGTCCCCATGACAATTAAGAAGAGTATTGATAAATTCATGTATGCAAGGAAACTATATAATACCAGGGAAATAACCGTATGAAAGGCATAGAGGAACAGTTCTGGCATTCAGACAGAGCTGGGAATAATAGTACATGTTCCCACCAGCCAGATTGGAAGCACTCATAATTCACTTTTCATGGTGTACTGTATAGAGTACTCAGGAAGATCTTGCTTCGAAAGTGGGAAATAATTAGCCCTAGCATGAGCACTACTTCAGACCCACATAACAAGTCATAAAAGCAAGACCCAAACGGATCAAACTGTTACCAAGTAGCATAATAAAGCGCAAGGAGATCTGTAGAAATCCAGAAATACTCTGCAGTCAGCAAGTTAAGATTCACAATGTCTTCTGGCATCCATTCAAAGATGACCAGGTATGCAAATAACTGAGAAAACATGACCTGTAGTGAGGAGAAGAATAAATCAATTGAGAACAACCTGTAACTGGCATAGATAATAGAATTTACAGACACTGGGATTGAAGCAGTTATAGTTGTATTACATATGTTAAAAAAGTTAAATAAAGACATGGAAGATATTTTTAAAAGTCCCAAATCAAACTTGCAGAGTTGAAAACTACAATGTCTGAGATGAAAAATAAATTGATGGGATTAATAGATTGCACATTGTAGAAGAAAAGATGCATGAACTTGAAGGCAGAGTAATGGAAACTATACAAATGAAACAGAAAGAAGAAAGAATCTTCTCTCCATTTCCATGCCCTAATAAAAAGAGCGCAAACAAAATGAGTTAACTGTGGGCCACCTTCAATAGGGGACAGGAGAAAGAAAAATTTTGAAGAAATAATGGTCGAAAACTTTCCAGATTTGATAAAAACTGTAAACACATCGTACATTCAAGAAGCTTAGTGAACCCAAGCACAAGAAACATGAAGAAAACTTCACCAAGGCAAATAATTGCTCAAAACCAGTGATAAAATCTTATTAAACACTGCAAGAGAAAAAAGATGTGCTTAAGGAAACACTGATAAGGATGATATCAGTTTATTGTTGGACATAATGCAAGTGACAAGACAGTGGAGCTACACCTTTTAAAGTATTCAAAGGAAAAAAACTCAACCTAGAATTCTATATCCAGCAAAAATATCTTTTAAAAACCGAGGTGAAGTAAAGACATTTTCAGACTAGGAAAAATGGGAATAATTCTTCAATCATACTCACACTACAGAAAATGTTGAAAGAAGTCTTGCAGGCAGAAGGAAAGTGAAATCAATTGAAAATATGGATTTACCTAAAGGAACAAAGGTCACTGGAAATGGTAAGTAACCTACATGGATAAATATATAAGATTTTTTTTCTTATGGATTAAATCTCTTAGAGATAATTGACTATTTAAACAAAAAGAATAACAGTGTATTGTGTGGCTTAAAACATATGTAAAAGTAAAATTCATGACAATAATAGCATAAATGCCAGGAAGTGAGAAATAAAAGTATACTACTATAAATTTCTTATACTGTATATTAAGTGGTACAGTGAAGGTAGACTTTCCTAACCTGTGTATTATAAACCCTAAAGTAACAACTAAAATAACAAAAGAGTTATAGCTAATATGTCAAAAAAGGAGGTAAAATGGATCAATAAAAATTACTGTATTAATCTAAAAGAAGGCAGAAAAAGGAAAAAAGATCAAAGAACAGATGGGAAAAATAGAAAACAAATGACAAGATGATACAGTCAGGATAAGTCAGAAATTATCAGATTGTATTTAAAAAGAGCAAAACTAAAGTCTAGGCTGCCTACAGGGAGTGTACTTTATAAACAGAAATAGGTTAAAAGTAAAAAGATGGGAGAAGATACACCATGATAACGCTAGTGAAAGGAATGCTAGAGTAGCTGTATTAATGTCAGATAAAGTAGATTGCAGGGCAAAGTATATTACCAAGGATAAAGAAGATCATTTCATAAAGATAAGCATGTCGTTCTTTAGGATTTAACAACCCTAAATGTTTCTGCACCTAAAACAGAGCTTCAAAATATTTAAAGCAAAAGCTGATGGAAATAGGAGTAATAGACAAACCCACGATTATAGCTGATCTCAACACCCTTGTTTAAATAGTTGTTAGAACAGTGAGGATTAAATAGACTTGAACAATGCTGTCAACCAACCTGAGCTGATTGATGTTTATGGAACACTTCACCCGTAACAAGAGAATACATATTCTCCTATGTGCTCATGGACATTTACTATGATAGACCATATTCTGAGTCATAGTACAAGATTCAATAAATTTTAAAAGGATTCAAATCATGCATAGTGTGTTCTCTGACTACACTGGAATTAAATTATAAATTGATAACAAAAAGAACTTTGGAAAATCCCCAAATATTTGGAAACAAAATAATACTTCTAAATAACCCATGGACTAGAGAAGAAATCAAGAGGGTAATTAGAAAGTATTTTGAACTGGGGCCGGCCCGGTGGTGCACTGCTACAGTGCGCCGCTTGGGAGTGCAGTGGCGCTCCCGCCGAGGGTTCGGATCCCACATACAGACCAGTTCCCGCTCACTGGCTGAGCGAGGTACGGGCCCAACACCGAGGGTTGCAATCCCGTTGCCGGTCCCGGTCCAGTACGGGTGTGACACTGAGGGTTGCGATCCGTTGCCGGACACGAAAAAAGACAAAAAAAAAAAAAAAAAAAAAAAAGAAAGTATTTTGAACTGAATGAAAATGAACACAACATACCTGAATTTTTGGCATGCCACTAAAGCAATGCTTGGGAAAATTTATAGCACTAAATGCCTAGATTAGAGAAGAAAGTTCTCAAATCAGTGACTTCATCTTCATCTTAGGAAACTAGAAAAACAAGTGTGCATTCAGTCCAAGTAAGCAGAAGAAAGAAATAGTAAAGAACAATACTGAATTCAGCGAGGAAACAGAAAAAAAGTAGAGAAAATTAAGGAAACCAAAAGCTCGTTCTTTGAGAACATCGGTTAAGTTGAGAAACTTTTAGCCATCTGATAAGAAAAAAAAGAAGAAAAAAGACACAATTACCAATAAGAGGAGTGTGAAATACGATATCACTGCAGATTCTACAGATATTAAAGGATAAAAGAGAATATTATGAATAACTATATGCAAACAAATTTGACAGTAGACAAGTGAAATGGACAAATTTCTTGAAAGACACATTGTCAAAGTTTATTCTGAAAGAAATAATATCTTAATTGTTTTATAGCTGTTAAATAAATGGATTATAGTTAGAAACCTTCCCACAAAGAAAACTCTGGTCCCAGATGGTGTCAAAATAATATCCAAATCAATGAAATGGAGGAAGGATAGCCTTTTCAACAAGTGGTGCTAAAACAATTGGATTTCCATATGCAAAAAATAAATAAAAATAAAGAATTTGTATCCTTACCTTGCACCATATTAGAAAAGTTAACTCAAAATGGATCAGGTCTAAATATGAAACCTAAAATAATAAAACTCCTAGGAAAACACAGGAGAAAATTTTTGTGAACTTGGGTTAGGGAAAATTTCTTAGCTGTGGCACCAATACAACATCAATGAAAGACTAAATTGATTCATCAAAATTGAAAATTAAAAAAAATCCAAAGGAGAGCACTTGTTTGATGACAAGGGAGATAGAATTCAGGGCAGGACAAGTGTTGAAAAGAGGTCATTGGATTTGGCAAATCTGGAATTACATAATTGCTATCTAAGATCAAATGGAAATATCAGTAATTTATTGATTTGAAAATACTGTTGAACTTTTAAAATTTGGTAGAACTATTAAATGAAATTGTACAGAGATGTTTATGAATTTTATTTTTTAGGTCCAATCGATTGTAAATAACAGGTTAATAAAATAAAAACAAATTTTTATGATTATAAAAATAATTTCTTATTATAGGAAATTTAAATATGTAGAAAGTATTGAAGATAGACAGAGGCAAATCATAATCCTGCCATGGAGAGAGAATATCATTTAACAATATCATTTTTGGTATATTGTCTTTTTTAACCTATATGTGTATTTTTTTTAATAACAGAATTTATATCCTCCTATACACACAGTTTTATATTCTGCTTTCCTTGCACATGTGCTGAGCATTTTTCAATGCCATTTAATGTTCTTTAGAAACATGACTTTTAGCAAGCGCAGTGTCTCTTTGTATCTGTGGGGAATTGGTTCCAGGACCTTCTGTGGGTACACAAATCAGGAGATGCTCAAGTGCTTAATATAAAATGTTGTAGTATTTGCATATAAATTATGCACATCCTCCCATATACTTCAGATCATCTCTAGACTCTTTATAATACCTAATATAATTTAAGTGCTGTGTAAATAGTTGTTACACTGTATTGTTTGGGAATAATGACAAGAAAAGTCTACATACTCACTATAGACACAATTTTTTTTTTTTTTCCTTTTTGTCTTTTTTCGTGACCGGGAATGGATTGCAACCCTCAGTGTCGCGCCCGTACCGGACCAGGACCGGCCACGGGATCGCAACCCTCGGTGTTGCTCCCGCACCTCGCTCAGCCAGTGAGCGGCCAGTCTGTATGTGGGATCCGAACCCTCGGCGGGAGCGCCGACGCGCTTCCCAAGTGGCGCACTGTAGCAGTGCGCCACCGGGCCGGCCCGACACAATTTTTTTAAAAATATTTTTGATCCTCCCTTGAATCCACAGATGTGGAATATAGGCTGACTGTATTTATTTAACGTTTTGTCAATAAAATTTTTCCCAATAAGTAATGAGATTTTTTTTTTTTTTTTTGATGTGGAATAAAAATCATCTTCATTGCCATATGTAATATCTTGGGCATCATATTGTTTGCTTTACAGTGTCAGTTTAATAAAGTATGGAATTGTCTCAGAACCTTTGATAGAGGCAGAATTGATGGTTATTGTCACTACCTTCATTCTCAAGCCATGTGGTAGCCTGTATTTAAGTATTTCTAGTAAGGGAGTTTGTGTATTATTTCAGATATTTGAGAGATGGGGAAAACGAAACCACTTGGTATCAAAATTTGGTTACAAACTGTGTAATATAAAATAAATGTTTTAAATTTAATTTTCTAGAAATTATTTTGAGGTTTTATTTTTTAAACTTGTTTCTTTGTATATCTACTGTATTTGCCATGCAAGTTGTTAGCTATTTTGCAACAGATTTGACAAATAGAAAAGCAGATATTAAGAAGAGTAAAATTAAATAGAAATTAAAATTATTTTTTGCTAGAACTTCACAATCTGATGTAGCGTGCTTTATTTTTATATAAGAATTTGTGTTGTGTCCATGTGAAACTAGTTTCTTTTTTTCAATATGACCCAAAATCTTATTCAAACCCAGTACCAAAAAGACATCTCAGCAAGCATATTATTGAACTTCACATTGATGTCATTCATCCCTTTTTCAGTTTGATTAATTTCTTATAATCATTATATACTTACCCATAAATCTTTCTATCTGCAGAAATCGTGAGATCCTGGAAAATGTATTAGCTGTCATCCTGGCTATTCTTGTGGCTTTTTTGGGATCTATTCTTCTCATACAAGGCTTCTTCAGAGATATCTGGGTCTTTCAGTTCTGCCTGGTCATAGCCAGCTGTCAGTACTCACTACTTAAGGTACCAGCATCTCTTCTTTTCATGCTGTGGAATAGTATTTGTGTTAAAAGGCAGAAGATTTTGTACCATTCACTGAATTATAGTAAGATAATTTTTAGATTTATTTTTCTTGGGTGTTTACATTAGATTGTGTAGAGAATAAAAGGAGAATATAAACTTTAAAAAATTATTATATGTAAATGGAGCTCCCAATAAACTATTTCTTTGTATCAAAAGAAAATATTTGTGTATTTGTTAAAATAAGAATTTATGTTCTTGAAGTTTCTTTCTTTTTTTTTTTTTTAAAAGATGACCAGTAAGGGGATCTTAACCCTTGACTTGGTGTTGTCAGCACCACGCTCAACCAGTGAGCTAACCGGCCATCCCTATATGGGATCCGAACCCGTGGCCTTGGTGTTATCAGCACCGCACTCTCCCGAGTGAGCCATGGGCCGGCCCGAAATTTATTTCTTTTTAAATGATTAACATTAGCTCTTCCACTCCTGTCTTTTGAGTACTTCTGTTTTGTAGGTGAAATTCATTAAATCTGTCATTGGTAGATATAATGTGAAAACTAGTATATATGTTCTTTTGGAACATCAAAAAGAGAAGATCAGTGTCCCTTTGTTATTGTGGTAATAGTGGCTTAAAAATATCAAATGTTGGCAATTTTAAGCTTTCAAAAAAATGGGAGAATTAAATATGTCACTTCATATAAAACCAAAATTTCCATCTTTCATTCAGAGTCACTGTAGACTGTTATCTTTTCTTTCTTTCTTAGTAAATACTGTTTGCTTTGTGTTGGTTATTTGCCTTATGTATGCTAATATGTGAGGCCCCCCCCCCGCCTGAATAATTCATTTACAGTTTATGGTATCAGCTGTTCTTTCTTTTTTCTCTCTCATTGAGAGCAAGACACCTGAACCCCCCCCCCCCCCCTCTGCTCTGTTCTTTAAGACCCATCCATACCTTTTTTTTTTTTTTAAAAGATGACCAGTAAGGGGAAGGCACCTAGGTCGTCCGCTCTGTTCTTTAAGACCCATCCATACCTTTTTTTTTTTTTTAAAAGATGACCAGTAAGGGGAAGGCACCTAGGTCGTCCGCTCTGTTCTTTAAGACCCATCCATACCTTTTTTTTTTTTTTTTTTTTAACTTTATAAGAAAGTGAAATTTATTACTTATAGTTTCGGAGGCTGGGAAGCCCAAAGTCCAGGGAACACATCTGGTGAGGGTCTTTTTGTGGTGGTGTAAGACCTGTGCACCATGCACAAATCCCACACACCAGGATGGCTCACCTCACAAAGACAGAGACCATTGCAATAAACATGAGGTTTTTATTCCAGCATGCTGGGGTTGCTCCGTTTTCAGGACAGAAGCGGCTCTGAGCTTACAATACAAGCACCTTTTATACAGTTTTTCCTGAACAGGACTTTATGACAGGATGAGTTGTTGGTTATCTGTGGCGCCTTTAGATTACAGGTGGGCTTTAGCAGGCTGGTACCCCGATAAGAAACGGCGCATTTCTGAATTGTTTATCTTCCCTGGGGCCTGGCCAGGTGGCTCTTAGATAAGGAACTAGTCAGTTCCTGGAACTGGGTGGGGGTTACTCCCTTCCTGGTGCTTGGGTCTGCCTGACCTTTGTATGGCCTCTTAGAAGCTGCTTTACCTAAAATGTTTTTAGCAGGCTTTTGTTACAAAACTGTGTATATAATTTTCTACAATTCCCCTACAATTTTCTACAATTGCCTTACAACAGCTTTACAACAATTCAGGGGTCTTACATGACAGAAGATGGTGGAGTAGAAAGAGAGGTAGTTCCTCATGTGCTCTTCTTTTAAAGACCTCAAAACCATGCCCCTGACCACCATTATTAATCCATTCACTATGTTATGGTCCTACAATCTAATTACCTCTTCAAGGCCCTACCTTTCAGTTACCATAAAAGGATGTCCCACCCTCAACAGTTACAATGGGGATTAAGCTTCTAATATATGAATAAACATTGAGGGCACAATTCAGTCAACCCACAGCATTCCACCCCTAACCCCCAAAGTTCATGTCCTCCTCACAGGTAGATACATTCCTTCCATCCCCAAAGTCTTAACTTGTTTCTACTCAAAAGTCCGAAGTTCAAAGTCCCATCTGTGAAATCAAAACAAGTTATCTATTTCCAAAATACAATCCGATCCACACTTTTTCCTCATTGTAGTACTGAAATTACAGTCTTTGTGGTTGATGATAATCATTCTGATTGCTAAATCTATGTCTTTTTTCTTAGTCTCCATTCTCTGAGTGCTGCTTCATTTAATACCTATTAATACTATCTTCCAGTTTTGTATTCTACTCATTGCTTATCTGCGACTTTATACTACCCTGATGATTCTTGTACTTTTCATATGACTCTCTTTTTCATTGTTGATGCCTCTTTGTTCTTTCAACCACTTCTTAATTTATGAGAATTCTCTAGGGTTTTATTTGGCTCTCATCTTTACAGTTTACAATTCCTTGCCAGCAAAGTCATCCTCTTTGACTACTTTATTTGTTGCCCCTATATATGAATTATGCCCAGATTTATATCTCAAAGTCTTCACCTCTTTTGCAAGCTTTAGTCCTATATATATCTAGGACTAAAGACAGTTGGGCACTTTTTTTTTTTAAAAAGATGACCGGTAAGGGGATCTCAACCCTTGACTTGGTGTTGTCAGCACCACGCTCACCCAGTGAACAAACCGGCCATCCCTATATGGGATCCGAACCCGTGGCCTTGGTGTTATCAGCACCACACTCTCCCGAGCGAGCCACGGGCCGGCCCAAGTTGGGCACATTTTAAAACTAGCCCATTATCATCTTCTGATTAATGTTTTCTTTTCTCAATTTCTTTGCTTTTGACAGTGGTGTACCAGCTAGAATCTTAGAGTTTCTGCTCCATCCTCCTTGATCCCTAATAATAAGTAACCAAATTCCTTTGATTAAATTTGGTGATTCTATGTTAAAATTACTGGGCTTCCTTCTTCCCTTTCATTTCAGCCACCTTAATCTATCCCTTTATTGCTGTAAACCATTTAAATTCATTCCTTAGCTCTAGTGAACCTGTCCCATTAATTTTGTCCTCTGCTTTTAGGTTAATATGGTTAAATATGGGAAAGGTAAAAGGTGACTGAGATTATGAAACTAGTTGACTCTAAGAATATTAATGTGGGAATAGGAAGTTAATAAAATCTCTTGCAAGGATACAGCTTAACTTGTTTGATTATTTTGATGTGAAAATACAAATAATATATTTAATACACATATCATAGAATTGTTTAGTAAGCTTGGAATTTGTGGACAGAACTAGAATTCTTGTTATAAACTAGCCCACGTTATTGTACCTTAAGTATACTTATGTGTAGTATGAGCCAAGCAGTAAGGTGGATCTGTCTACCATATGCTGTCTCAGAAATGCTGAACTAGATGCAAATTGTTAACCAAAATAAGTAAGAGTCAGGTAAGATTTTAGATTGTTGTTAAATATCACAGTGATACCAGTATCTGGTGCTGATGTTTCATCTTTGGAACAGAATTAAGGTAAGTCATTTCTTTTTTTTTTTTTTTTTTTTAAAAGATGACCGGTAAGGGGATCTTAACCCTTGACTTGGTGTTGTCAGCACCACGCTCACCCAGTGAGCTAACCGGCCATCCCTATATGGGATCCGAACCCGTGGCCTTGGTGCTATTAGCACCGCACTCTACCGAGTGAGCCACGGGCCGGCCCGGTAAGTCATTTCTTGATTGTGGAATATTTACTTGAAATCACTTCAGGCATTTTGAGAGTTGCTTGTAGAATTACCAAGACTTCAGTAGTGTAATCTGTCGTTCTGTTTCATTTCTAGAGTGTTCAACCAGATTCTTCTTCTCCAAGACATGTGAGTCACTCTAATAGGGCTGTAACTTGTAGTTTGTTCCTTAACATGTATTCTTTTTTTGCTTTCTTTTTTGGCATGTGTCAGATTGAATTAAGATTTATTTTATTATTTCCTCATCTAAGTTTTGACACACTCCTAGAAATATAGGTGATTTGTTAGCATGGAATAAAATGATATTGTACTTGTAGACTCTAAATCTTGGTGAAAATGAGCATAGTAATTCATTTTTGGACAGCCTGTTTCAGGAGCAGGTTTTCAATTTGGTTCATATAAACTCATAGTTATTTGATTATTTGCATTTAAAAATTTTTAAGTAACAAATTGTGAATAAGTATTGAAAAATAGAATTTTGAAGTGGAAAAAACTTTATTTTGCTTTGGTAATTATTAGGAACAAAAATAAAGAAGTAATGCATTAGTCTGGTGTTATGACCTTTGGACTAAGTAATGAGATAAAAACCTTGTTATTCATTTGTGACTTTAGATTAAAAATAATATCTGTCTAGTGCTTTTTATTGTGAAATATTATCCAATTTTAGATCTAACTTGAGTATTCATTTAATAGAAAGACCAAAGGACATTCCCTTTAAAGTAATTCAGAAATAGACTCCAAAAATAGTTTATGGTTATGCTTTCTTTCTTGCATATAATTCTTTCTTTCCATATCCTGGAATAGTTAATAATGGAAATAGATGAGCAAAACAAAACAAGGAGGCAAATGGTTTTCTTTTGACTAATTATGTTTATTATTTTTTAAGAATATTTTTTAAGTGTGATGATATATAGAAGCATTGCTTTTTAACTTTTCATTCTGACATAATTTCAGTCTTAGAGAAAAGTTGCAAGGATAGTACAGCATTCCTGCACCAGTCACCTAGATTCCCTATGTTAACATTTTACCATATTTGCTTAATTCCTGTCTGCATGCATTCTCTCTCTCTCTCTCTCTCCCCCTCTCCCCTTCCCCCTCTCTCCCCCTCGCTCCCTCCCTCCTTCCTCTCCCTCCGCCTCCTCCTCCCCCTCTCTCCCTCCCTCTTTCCCTCTCCCCTTGCAGACAAATGTCCCTTTACCTCTAAATATCTCAGTGTATGTTTCCTAGAAACAAAGGAATTCCTTTACATTAGTTCAGTGTTTAAAATTACGGCACTAACACTGATACAATACTATTTTCTAATCTACAAATCTTATTCAGGTTTTGCCCATTGTCTGAACTGGCAGTTCAAAATCCCTGATTATGCATTTGGCCTCTTAAGTCTCCTTTAACCTGGAACAATTCCTCAGTATTTCCTTTCAAGATACTGAAAGTTTTGGTGGATACAGGCTTGTTTATTTTATTTTATTTTATTTTATTATACAATGTAAACATGTTTTGTGCAGGCCAGTTTTTTTGGTTTGTTTTTGGGTTTTTTTGGCAGCTGGGTGGGATGGGGATCTAAACCCTTGACTTTGGTGTTACTAACACTGCAGTCTCACTAACTGAGCTTATCGGCCAGCCACAGGCCTGTTATTTTATTGACCATCCCTCAATTTGAGTTTGTCTGATTTTTCTTTTTGCTTAGATACAGGTCATGCTTTTTTGGTAGCAAAACAGTCATTCTTCCGTATCCATGGGAGGATTGGTTCTAAGACTCCAAGTGGAAGCCAAAATCCACTGATGCTCAAGTCTCATATAAAAAATAGTGTAGTACAGTTGGCCCTTTGTATCCATGGGTTCCACATCTGAAGATATGGAAGGCCAACTCTCTTAGAAAATTGATGTGTTCTACTCAGTGCATTATATCACGAAGCACATGATGTTGAGTTGTCCTATTATTACTGCTGATGTTAACTTTGATCTTTTGGTTAAGGGTAGTGTCTGTGGACTTTCTCAGATCTCTTCAGTATGAACATTTGGGGCTGGATAATTCTTTGTTGAGGGTGGGGTGTGCTGTCCTGTGCATTGTAGGATGTTTAGCAACCTCTCTGACTTCTACCCATGTGGTGCTAGTAGTACTCCCACCCCAATTGTGACAGCAGACTGTGTGCAGACATTGCCACATGTCCCCTGGGGAGCAAAACCCTCTCCCTTCCCTTAAGAACCACTACTGTACCTTAATGTTACTGTTTTTCTCTTGTAAGTATTTCATAGGGAGATACTTTGAGACTGTATATACAAGTATGTCCTGCTACTCCACACTTCTACCCATTTGTTTTAGTATCTACTGATGTTTCTTGCCTGAATCAGTTATCATTTGATGGTTGCCAAATAGTGATTTTTCTAATTCTATCATTCCTCTACATTAATTGGTTGACTTTTCTACTGTAAGGAAGAACTTTTCTTTCTGTCTTATATATGTATGTATGTACGAAGAGTCTTCAAAGTTCATGGAAAAATGCCAACTTCTTTTAATTTCATTTTCCACGAACTTTTTGAAGTACCCTTGTATGTATGTATTGGTGTGAACTCATGGATTATTTTATTCAGTGGACTATAATATTTTAAAAAGTGTCACATTGTCCCTGATTTGGCCATTGGGAGACCATCAAGCTGTCTTCTGTGTCCTTTTGACATATCTTTATCATTCTTTAAATACTTCCTTCCTTTTTGGCATAACAATATGTTCCAGGTTTATCTTATACTTTCCTTGACCTTACCCAAAACCAGCCTTTTCTCAATGGAGCCTGGGTTCTTTTTTGTGAATAATGGTATTTGTAAATTAAGATCTGGATGATAGTAATCTTTATTACTAGAATGCCATCACTTCTAGGTTCTCTCAGTGGATAAATCTAGGAAATATAGATACATACGTACCGAAATACACAAATATTCATATACACATATATATCTTTTTCTATATTTATATGAATATTAAAAATAATGAGTTCATACCGATACCTCTGATTTCAATCCGGTATCACAGAGTTTATTCTGGGTTTTTTTGTGTTTGTCATTTCTGTGTGTGACCGTCAGAAATCGAGCTTCCATATGGAAAAATTCTGAATCCTTAGAATGTAAGCCATCAATGATCTCAGTAGCTAGTTGTGACTTAAAATTAACTAAACTGACTTTTTCTTAAAATATCATTTTCAGGGTCATAATCGTATCATTGCCTACAGTAGACCAGTTTATTTCTGTTTATGTTGTGGTCTTATTTGGCTCTTGGATTATGGTAGCAGAAATCTTACTACAACCAAGTTCAAATTATATGGAATAACTTTCACCAATCCATTGGTATTTATATCAGCCAGGGATTTAGTTATAGGTGAGTCATCTTTAAAGTATTTCTGATCTTAACATTAATTTATTTGTATACTAACAGTACACTGATAAATAGAAAAATTAGATATGTAAAAATAGTTTTAATAAGCTTATATTGCTGTTTATTGTAATTCTCTCTGGGGAGCAAAACTGTAGGGTAGGGGTATTATGAATGAAAAAAGCTAATGATGAACAAATACAGTAGTTCTTCTGTTCTTGAAGTAGATGCAATGGAAAGAAATTTTTTTTTTCTGGGGATTTTTTGATTCTATATCTTAGATTCTTGCTATTTGAAAATAGTTAAAATAATTTTAATGGATGTTATTTATAGTTGAAAAGAGTGCATTTAATACCCAAGCAATTAAGTAGACATAAATATTTTTAAATCTCTTTTAAATATTGCTTAGTGATTTATGTTAATTTTCGATTCTTTTTTATCATTTATGATCTTTAAATGAACAAAAGGATTGATACAGTTTAATGTTGTTTAATATACTTTTCTTTCCGTCTGTAGTGTTTACACTCTGTTTCCCGATAGTATTTTTCATTGGTCTCCTGCCTCAGGTGAATACATTTGTAATGTACCTTTGTGAGCAATTGGATATTCATATCTTTGGTGGTAATGGTGAGTATTTCATTATGAAAATTACTGATTACAGTATCACTTTTACAGATCATGAAGTAGAAAAGAACATTAAAATGCTTTTTCAGTTTTTATTTTAGAGTTGAATTTAGAAAAAAAGGACACTTATTTAATAATTGAAGACTGAGTAACAGTTAATATGTAGGTAAGAAAAAGTAGTCAAGTCTGCTACTTCAGTGAGAGATCCAGGAATAATGGAGCTGATGGATAAGAAGTGATAAAATAATGTCTGAAATTAAAAGTTATAGTGAGTTTACATAGAAACTCTATGTAAATACAGTAAATAAATTATGAGTTAATTATAAGAGATCATTTATCCCAAGTAGATTGAGATCTGATACATGGCATTATATTTGGATTTTGTACTGGTATATACATTTGATATGTCTACATATTTGGTTTCAGAGCTTTGTTTTTTCCTTAGAATGAGAACACCAAAACCAGAAACTAAATGCATTTTACTGAATAAGATTTTAAGAAATATCTCTGTTTTTAGAGTAGAATATGTGAATATGAATTGATATACTTAGAAAATATATTCTCCTGTCATATGTATATTTTATTTAAAAAATAAGTTAGGCCATACCAATATTACTCTGGCATAGATAGTGGTTTGCAGAACTGGGAAATAATCCTATCAGCAGCTACTGTGGTTGAAATATATCATTATTAAGTTTAACCATTTAAAATTTTACCAAAAGATGAGTGTGCAACTAGAGGAAATATATGAAAAGAAAGAAATTGCTGTAACTATAGTCCATTTATCTTCTAACTTCACCTTTGCAGTCTTCATTTACCTTCTAAGTATTGTGTATGCATTGAAGTCATCTCTGCTGATAAAATTTAAGCCATAATATCAACATTTTAAATAAAAGTTAAGGTTTTTTCTGTTGCTATATCATACTAGAGCATTTTTAATGTTTTGAAATTTTTTTGAAGGTGTGTGGATTAAGACAGCTGATTTCATCAATCAGTATAACTTAATGGGTAGAAGACAGTTTCAGTATTTAGAAACTATTATTGGTATTATATTAATCTAAGTAATATGGGGAGGGCTTAGTGTAGGTAATTTATAATAGTGGGCTTTGTCATTATACTTTACAAACTTGTGTAAGGTGTTAAGTTTTTAATATCTTATAAAGAAGTTTTTTTCTATAAATTTCTTTTATGGTCACTGTAAAATTACCATTAAAGAAAATCTGTCATCCATGTTTTATTTTTATTTTTATTTTTTTTATTTTTATTTATTTATTTTTTTTTTGTCTTTTGTCTGTTTTTTCCGTGTCCGGCAACGGATCGCAACCCTCAGTGTTGCCCCCGTACCGGACCAGGGACCGGCAACGGGATTGCAAACCTCGGTGTTGCTCCCACGCCTCGCTCAGCCAGTGAGCGGGAGCCGGTCTGTATGTGGGATCCGAACCCTCGGGCGGCAGCGCTGCCGCGCCTCCTAAGCGGCGCACTATCCAGTGCGCCACTGGGCCGGCCCTGTCATCCATGTTTTAAAAATGAAGTCTAGCTATTTTATCCATCCCCTAATCCTTATTACCAGTAATTCCATTGGATCTATTTTTTTTATTATTAGTAGTTAGTCAGATCTGTACTTTTTTCTGAGGATTAATTAACTCATGAGAATACAGATTTACTTCTGTTGGTAACACAGGTTCTATTTACATAGACTAATATCTTCCAGTGAATACTTAACTACATCTCCAGTTCTTTTTCAGGCTTCTTCAAGCTTGATTTTCCCATACTGTTTGTTAAGTATAACATACATTCTAGAAGCATAATATTGGTATAATTTTTTTCTGCTAAAAAATGTTCATTACTTCCAAGATGAATATATTTTATCCTGTGTCAAAGATTGAGGATAGCAAAACCCTGTCATGTCAAAAATTTTTGAAAGTATAGGATGGAATAAATGAATTTTAAAAAATCAAATGTGTAGATGTTTAATTATTGTTGACATTATAACATTTTAAGTGCTTTTCAGTGAAGTTTTCATTTTTTTCATAGATGTTAATTAAATATTGATTTCTTTTTTCCTTTTCTGTCTAGCTACTACAAGCCTGCTTGCAGCACTTTACAGTTTTATCTGTAGCATTGTGGCAGTAGCCTTGCTGTATGGATTGTGCTATGGAGCGTTAAAGGTGAGCAATAAACCATAGTATGTTTTGTCTTTAAGGCTATATTTCTGTATGAAGATTGCTTTAAATTGACTAATAAGGATTTTTTTTCTCTGGAACTACTTTAGCATTAATTTCCGTTGTCTCCATATGCTGAACATTATTCTCATTTAGTTTGAATTTGAAAGCACTTTAATAATTAACCATTATTAAAATAAAATCCTTTTTCATGCAGTAATCAGACATTAATATTAGAAACAGATTACTAAAAACTAGGCTTGTCTAGGTTAGGGGTGGCCATGGTAATTACAGAATAAAAATTAATTTAAAATTTCAAGTTAAGAATTTACATAACTACTGTTTATATCAAAGTTTCTTTAAACTGAGAAGAACAAGTTCAGGGACTGCAATTTAAGATTCATGGTAGTAAAAATCAGTACATTGAAATTTAATGTCATTATTGGGTCGGAAGGATCTGGATGAACCTTATGAGCTGCCTTTTAAAAGATTATCATCATATTGAAAAGAAAAAATTAAAAATTTTTATAACAACTCTCAGCCCCTCACACATACTTCTGGGATATTTGTGTGTGTGATTATGCAAGATAATCAGAGAATGGCAGGTTAGAAAGGACTATGAAAAGTGACTCATGGCATCCTTTTTTGCTTCATTTATTAAGTAGAATTTATGGAGTACTGACTGTGTGCCAAGTACTGTGTTTAAAGCCATTTCCTGCTTTTAAGGAGCTTGTAGGTGAGCTGTTGCTTAACATGTTAACCAACACGTCCAGTACAGGGCAATGAAGGTTATGAGAACAGAGTTCTATGGGTATATAACTTAAGACTACTTTATTCAGCCAAAAAGGATTAAAGACAACTTTTCAAGGGTGTGGCTTTAGCCAAATTTTGAAAGACATACAGGAATAAGCTAGTTGAAACAAGGTATGAAGAACCATGGAGATGTAAAGAAAATGTGTTGTGCAGAGGAAAGAGCAGATAATGTGGAATGCCTAGGGCTTAGGGTACATGAGAAAAGATGGCCTTCAGTAAGGCTAGAAAGGTAACCAAGGACCAGGTTATGAAATGTCTTTTATCCTGAATGTGTTGGGCTAAAGATGGAAGCCTGTCAATGTGTTTGAGGTAGGGCAAAGAAATAATCAGAGTTGCATTTTAGAGAGATTACTTGTCTCCATTGGGAAGAAGATCGAAGTCTAAGCAAGGGGGATCAATGTAGGGAGACTATTGTGCTTTAATCTTGAAATTATGATGGATTTAACTAAAATTGGATACCATGAATACATTCGAGAATATCTGGATAAAGAGAAGAGCCAGAATAGGGTCCAGGATGATTTCTGGATAGGATCTGCCTTGAACAACTGGTTAGGTAGTGGTAGTAGTGTGCAAGATTGGAAACCCTGGAATTTGTTGAGGAAGGTGATTGTTAAGGTTTGGACATTTTGTTGATATGGGGATCCAGAGGTGCATAGTAGGTAGAGAGGTTTGAATTAGTGAAAGGTTTGAGTTAGTGAAAAACAGATTTAGAAGTCATCAACAAAGTATAGAAAAAAGACTGCTAATGTGGATTGACAAGAGAAAACAGATGAGAAAAGAACCCTGGGTGATACCAATATTTAAGTATTTAGCCAGATTTAGTATAATTTTATGTTTGAATATGCATTAAGGAAATGAATTCTACCTCTTCCTAGACTAGTTGGGAAGCTTGTGTACATTATGGGGGTTGTTTTCTGGTTTTTGGTTTTTAAAAAGATCTGAGACCTGATTGCATTTAAAAGGTGATGAGGAAAAATCTAGTAGAGGGGAGATACTTGACAGAGCTAAGCCCAGAAAAGAACTGGAGGCAATAATATCCAAATCCAGGCTTCTTCTGTACATACCACCTGTAAACCATCCTAGTTATGTGTTTTACGTGTTTTAAACATGTTTTGGAAAGTGAATCATTTTGTAAGTTGTGATCATAGAAGTTAACAAGTACAATAAGTTTTCTATCTGAGTTTGCAAAGGTCTGTTCAACTACGTTTATGTAGCAGAACAGCCACAATTGTAAAACTGCCAGCTAGAGAGTCCTGGGTCCTAAAGCAGGCAAGAAGGTGAATTTTTCTTCCTTCTTTCTGGGGCATGGCATTTACATTAGCCAATTTTAGTTTTAAATAGCACCTATTATAATGTAATATAATGTACAGGGATTTCATTATAGTAGTGTTTGTTACAGCAAAAAAGCTGAGAATTACCTAATATCTGTCATTTATGATTAAATTAATTATGGTGTAGACATACAATGGAATGCTGTAACAGCTGTGAAAAAGAATAAAACGTATTTTTATGTGCTAATGCAGAATGATTTCCAAGACAGTATTGGGTTTATTTTTTTTTTAAAGGGAGGCAATGTGCCAAAAAAATTGATGTTACCTTTGTTATTTTTTTTAAAAGCACACATGAAGGCTTTGTAGATACATAGAATAATTATGAAAGAATACACAAGAAACTGAGAACAGTGGTTACTTCTGGACAGTTAGAGTCATTAGGAGACTTTATTGCATACCTTTAGGAATAGTTTAATTTTTCTTTTTATTTATTCAGTAATATAGACTTTTATGTCTATATCACCTCTGCTTTCCTTGTGTTTACTCTTGTTTTTCCTTAATTTTTTAGCAGGATGCTTAGCTCATTAAAAGCTAAAAATTTTTCTTTAAGGCCACTTTAGTGCATCCTATTAATATGTGTACACTTCCCATATGTTTTCATATTTTTTAGAGATTTGGGTCATTATGTAATAAAGCAAAAACATTTAGACCTTGGAGGAAGTCAAGGCCCATTACAGTGAGTAAAACAAACCCACCTTTTAATCTTTTGACCTAGGTCAGCTTCCCAAAGTGGTTTTATTTTTCATAGTTCTGTTCCTTCTCCCACTTCTGAATCAGGATTTATTAAAAACTCAGAGGTGACTGAGTTTTGTTTTGCTTTTTGTTTTTCTAGTTAGTGACTCAATAGAGGTAATAGTTACTATGAATTTGTTTATACATAATCTGTAAGTTAGAGAGGTATGTTAAGGCTGCTGTAACAAAGTACAATAGACTGGGTGGCTTATAAACAACAGAAATTTATTTCTCACAGTTCTGGAGGCTGGAAGTCTGAGATTAGGGTGCTGGCATGGTTGCGTTCTGGTGAGGGCCCTCTTGTGGGTTGTAAACAGCCAACTTCTTGCATCCTCACATGGTGGAGAGAGGACTAGAGAGCTCTCTGGGATCCTTTTTATAAGGTCATTAATCCCATTCAAGAGGGCTTCACCCTCATGACTTAATCACCTCCCAAAGGCTTTACCTACTGATAACCATCATATTGGGGGTTAGAATTTCAACATATGAATCTTGGGGGCACACAAACAACCGGAGGTGTTCATGAATTGCTTTGAGTGCATGATTATTTTAAATTCTTAATCTAAATAAAATAAACAAGTCATTTTGAGATAAACTTAAGAATGCTTTTCTTTTGTCTGAGAGTGGTGATTGCTGTTATTTGTCAAATAAAGACAGGCATCTTTTGTTTTATTCCTAAATACTCATTTTGTTTTAATTGAGACAATATTTATATACAGTGAAATTCACACGTCCTAAGTACACAATTTGATTAGTTTTTATAAATATATACACCTATGTAATCTACACTCTCACCAATGTATAAAATACAGTTGACCCTTGAAAAACGTGGAAGGTAGGGTCACTGACCTCCATGCAGTCGAAAATCCACACATAACTTTTGACTCCCCCAAAACTGTTAAACTACACTTAAGTACAGCACATTTTCCTTAGGCATTAATTACACACATCAAGTACCTAACAACTAAAAGCCTACTATTAGGTGAACTATCTGTTTGGTTATGTACCTAACCAAAATTTTTCCATTATATTTATTGTAAAAGATCTGTATGTGAGTGGACCCTCACAGTTCTAACCTGTGTTGTTGAAGAATTTGCTGTAGTTCCATCTCCCCAGAAAATTCCCTTATATTTCTTTCTAACTCCCCCTATTCCCAGCTTATTTTTTACTATAGATTATGTTTGCAATTATTGAACTTAATATAAATGAAATCATACCATATGTATCTTTTGGGTCTGGCTTATTTTGCTCAGTATAATGTTTCTGAGATTTATTCACATTGTGTATATAAGTACTTTGTTCTTTTTTATTGCAATGAAGCATTCCATCTAGTTTTAAATCCCTCTTACTGTCATTGTATTGAATACATCATAGCTTATCTCTGTCTTAGAGATGGACATTTGGGTTGTTTCTAGTTTAGGGATGTTATGAATAAGGCTGCCATGAACAGTCTTTGTGCAAATATTTTTGTGGATATGTGTTTTCATTTCTTTTGGGTAAATACCTAGAAATGGAATTGCCAGTTTTCCAAAGTGGTTGTACCAGACATCATTTTTTAATTTTGACTTTTATCAAAGTTATACACATGTAGGTTTTAGAGTCAAATAGTTCTGCAAAACTTATTACCAAGAGCAGCAATCACCTACCTCTTTTTACCTTCCTCAGAATTATTACTTTCAACTGTTTCAGCTTATTCTTTTGGTATTTTTCTCTATATCTCTAACTTTTATGTCTGCTTCTTATATTTTCTTAAGTTTTAGGCATTATCCACAGACTGCTTTTTACAGAAGTTGTGGTCTTAACTTTCTCCCATACCCCCATTTCAGGCCTCCACCACACACAGGCTCCCTTGTCTCCCTCATACACCTGGTGTGCTCACCTTATTATCACTATGAAAATGCTGCCTCTACATACATTTTGTTTTCTCCTTCACTTTGCTTTCTTATGTATTTATTTTTCGTTCATTCTCAAATTCTTGGCATGTTTAACTTTTTGCTCAGTACCTTCAAACACATCAGAAGTTCTGTTTCTGACTCTGCCACTTAACTGGACAAATTACTTAAATCCTCTGTACTTTAGTTTCCTCATCTATAAATTGGGGAATAATAGTACAAATTTTCAAGGGTTATTGTAAAAAATTACTTTGGAAGTATAAAGATCTAAGAATGGGGTTCTACACATAGTGTTCAATATGATGATAAAAAGGTTTTTATTTAGCCATTAAAACAATAAAATGTCTTTCCAGCCTCAGAAATTGTAAATGAATACATTTCATTTTCTTATAAATTACACAGTTCTGAGTAATTTGTTATAAGCAACAGAAACGGACTAAAACATCATCTAAAAATTACTTGTCTTCTAGATGTTAAGACACATACGTTACTAGAGACAATGTTAGTGTTTTGAAATGTGTGTTTAAGATGTTGGGAAACAGAAATGCTGCACCTACTTTTTGATACACCTCTCTAGTACAGGGGTTAGCACATGATGGATTGGCCAGTAAATATTTTAGGCTTTATGGGCCACATAGTTTCTGTCGAAACTAGTCAGCTCTGCCTCTGCATTGTGAAAGCAGCCACAGATAATCTTTAAACAAATGACTGTGACTGTGTTTTGATAAAACTTTATTTTCAAAAACAGGCAGCAGGTTGGATTTGGCTAACAAGCTGTTGTTTACAGATCCCTCCTTTAGATGACTTTCCCCAGTATAATAAAAAAGGTTTTCCCAAGTAATCACTGTGAAGTATGATTAATTGCAGCACTGCTAAGAGGCTGGTTAAGATTTTACTAGTTCTTCCCGGCTTATACACATCTACAAAATCTTATGATTTCCATCAACATAAAGATACCAAGAAAAGACATCAGTAACATATGCATGAGGCAAAGTTGGGAGTGAATGTTTTCTAAGATCATTTTATCTCAATACATCAGACTGGCCCAGAACCTTAAAAAAAATAATAATAATAATGTGTCTATGTTGTGATGTGAAACACATTCCTAGACTATTTTTAAGTGGGGGAAAAGGGCAAGTTCTATCAAAAACTACTGTTTGGCTCCCTACTCCTACCGTTTTCCCTTCCCAAATCCCCAGAGAAAGGCGAAGGATTAGAAGGGTGTCTGCCTCACAAGACATACTTAAGAACTGTTAACTATTCCTGTTAACAGTATTATCCACTCTATGCCAGGTTTCATGCTACAGTGAACAGAGCCAGCATGATATAGCGGCAGGTTTGGTTGGCCTTGGAAGCTAGCTTTTGAATTATTTCCTTCTGGGAATATGCAGTTCATTCATACAGGAAACAGTTACTGAATGCTTGCTCAATGCTGTGGAGGATGTAATGATATAGTACATGAGCAAAGGCATCAAGAAAGTACACACCAAATGTCAGCCTTTCCTTTTGCCTAATGTGTCATATCATGTATTGCTTTTTCCTACTCCATTATAATATATAATATATAAATTTTTAATAATATTAAAAAACAATTTATAATTTTTTTATAATATATAAAAAATTTACTATGCAAAGTTATTTCATTCATGGGAAAGGAACTCATAATTTACTGTAAACAATAGCACTTAAAGTCTGAAAGAATTTATAGCAGTATGCATTAGAAGCAAATTATCCCTAGTATATGAATAGAACTTTAGTACCAAAAGAAATCTGAAGCTTAAGTACAAAAAGAAATCTGGCAGCTAGATTCTAGCTCATCAGAAAGCAATAAATCTAAATATATCTGGAATAAAATGCAACTGATAATATGGCTAAAATTTTTTGTCGAATTTCATTGTCTCTCCAAAATACTGACCATAAGAGGATAAGATGATAGATTATAAATTAGAAACATGTTGTTCTGTTAAATTGTTTTTTCAACAGGATTCTTGGGATGGCCAGCATATTCCAGTACTTTTTTCTATTTTTTGTGGTTTGTTAGTGGCAATATCCTACCATCTCAGCCGACAAAGCAGTGATCCGTCTGTACTTTTGTAAGTGAAATCAATTGTTATTGAATTAAAGAAATTTTTTAAAGTTGTCATTTCTTTCAAATAACTTCCAAGATGTCTTTTGCCCAATGCCTTTCCAAAGTAGTATTGGCCTAATCTATATTACATTTCAAAACATATTGTTAATTTTGGGTCATTCTAATTGTTGGCCAAGAATGTTTGTTAGTTTTTTCCTTCCCAAGTATTAATATTATGTTTTAATAGAAATATTTTCACTGTATGCTTATTTATGGTGTCTTAATCTTGTTAGAATTTAGCATTTGCTAATGATTAAATATACTTGGATCATTTGTTTTTCTGTCATAAACTTTACTTGCCATTTGAATTACTGGTTTTCAGATTATATGTATACGTATTTTCTGTTAATTATTTTCTCTTAATTTTTTTAATGTAAAGCTCTTTGGTGCAATCCAAGATTTTTCCAAAAACAGAAGAGAAAAATCCAGAAGACCCTCTGTCTGAAGTAAAAGATCCACTGCCTGAAAAACTTAGAAATTCTGTTGTAAGTTTAGCTTTTAAAATCACCTAAAAGACTCCAGTTTTAGACAGTTGATCATATTATGTAATGAAAGCTCTTTTGTTTTTGTTTTTGTTTTTGTTTTGGCAGCTGGCCAGTAAGAAGATGAAATGAACACTTTTAAAAAGTATTTAGTAATTGGGCCGGCCCGGTGGCGCACTGGATAGTGCGCCGCTTGGGAAGCGCGGCGGCGCTCCCGCCCGAGGGTTCGGATCACACGCACCCAAAAAAAGCTAGTAGGGAAACTTGCCAGAATTTGAACCCAGATCTGCCAAAACTCCAAAGTCAGACCATAATTGTGTCTCCCAGTGTGTAAATATCTATCAAATACTTTGTGCACATGTGTGAACATGCCAAACTTTGAATGATTTAAGTATAACCTGTATTTTAATACTTAGGACAGCATCATAAAATTAATTTCTAAATGAATATTGAAATTTATCCAGTTTCTATGTTTAGCAATTGGTGTTAATTTACCTCTCATAAGTGCTAGAAAGGTTCTACAATACCTCCTCCAGCCCTTTTATACTATTCAAGCTTTTTATTAGCCCTAATATAGTTACACTGAATAGATTTAGTTACACATTGTTGATTGCTTTTATTCCAAATTTTAACATAAAAAAATGCTCATTCCTCAAACTTGGTTTCTATGTAGAACAGTATGCTAAAGATTCATTTTTAGGTCAGGTGAAATTAAGTAATTTCATTGCTCATAAATTTTTAACCCTATTCAGGTTAGAGTAGGATCTGAAAGGTGAATATTAACATAAATTAGATTCATTTTATTGTTATTGTTGCTAAAAACTGTCCTTGTAAGTCATTTACTAGTCTTTTAGGCTGTTTTATTTCTCAAGGGCAGTCTGAAAAGTGTGTGTGTTTTCCAGGTTGAAGGAGAGAACAGTAATTTGTACTAACTTAATATACTTAAGTAAATGCAGTAATTTAAAAAAATTTCTAATTTAGTGAATTATAGTGTTGCCTGTATTCTTTTAGTAATTATTTGAAGAATGAATTCTATAGATTCATGTTTGTTTTGTGGAACAAAACATAAGATGTTCTTTTTCTCAGCTTTATTTTAGATTGTTTCCATTTGTGACTGAATTTATATAGGTGTTGAATTAGACATAATATTTACTTTCAGTGGACTTGAGCTGTTCACAGTCTCAAGATATAATTTAAACAATTTTTTTTTCTGACTTTAGCTTCATGTTAGCAGAGGATGTTTCATGTTAAGTATAGTAGAATATTCTGAATCAGGCTTGTAAGCCTAAATCTAATGGGTTAATTGATGACCAGAGATATTAAGAGATTTCTAGTTTTAATTATAATCCTGAAATAATTAAAATCTAGTTAGTAAGATAGGACATGTGCATGCAGTTTTAAAACTTCAAAAGACCAATGAAAATATAACTTATCAAAAGGGACAAATGCCTATATCCAAAGGGAAATACCCCTATAAATGATATGGAAACTTAAGTACCTTATTTCCTTTTCCCCTATTTAAAGTAGAACATACAGACCAATGGGGGAGAAATCTTCATTCTAAAAGACTTTATTGTGGTGTGTTATACAGCATGCAGAACTAGACAAATTGTTTAATTTCCTTAGTACTTCAGTGTCAAACCAAAATATGAGGAAATTGATTAAAAAAATAAGATCTATCATAGCTAATTATTATGTGTAAGAAATATCTAGAAATGCTAAAGAGTATCAATGAAAAATTATTTCTTAAACTTTGCCAGCTGAAAATAAAGGGAAGATTTAAAAAATTTTTTATGTAATTGTTTAGTAATTCTTTTTTTGTTCCACAGAGTGAGCGTTTACAGTCTGACCTAGTAGTATGCATTGTAATTGGTGTGCTGTATTTTGCTATTCATGTAAGCACAGTGTTCACAGTATTGCAGGTAAGGAATCATTTCGTTCTCTTAATTAAAAAAATAACTTTGTTTGGACTTATTTCTGATTTGGTTGTAGTGTTTGTCCACTGAAATATGTGACTTATTGTTTGGTTTTAACAGCAAATATTTATTTTCTCATGCTTTTTCTTGTCATGAATCTGGGAGTGGCTTAGCTGGATGATTCTAGTTTAGGATCTTTTATGATGCTGCATCATCTGCTGAGGTTTGTTGCTTGCAAGCCTAAGTTCCTTGCTGATACCAGAGACCTTAGTTCCTCTTCATGTGGTCTCAGCATAGGCTGCCTGAGTGTCCTTATGAAAATGGCAGTTGGTTTCCCACAGAGCAAGTGATCCTAGAGAGAGAAAGCAGAAGACAGAGGTTGCACTGTTTTATATCCTGATATCAGAAATGACATACCACCACCTTTTCTATATTCTGTTGGTCCTGATACAGTGTGGGGAGGGAACACAAAGATGTAAATACCAGGAGCAAGGATCTTGGGGACCATTTTGGAGGCTGACTACTCAAGTCACCTTCTGGCCTCCATGATTCACTTCCCTTCCACATGCAAAAACTCCTCCTACCTGCTTCCCCTACCCCAATTCTCATTCCAGTACAGCTGGAAGTCTAGAAGTTCATCATCTAAATCCAGTCCAGGCATGGGTAATCCTCCTCAGGTGTTGTTCCTTAATTACAATTCCTTAAGGACAATCCCTGTCATCTGTAGGCCAGGTAATTACCATGTTTAATGCTCTTCATTGTTTTGTGTGGATCATATTTCTGTATGGTGTCATTTTGCTTCTGCCTGAAAGATTTCCTAGTACATTCCTTGTAGTATGAATCTGCATATTTTCTCAGCTTTTGTATTTCTGAAAAAGTTCTTATTTTACTATTGGTTTATAAAATTTTAGGATGACAGCTTTTTTTCGTTTTTCTGTCAGTGCTTAAAGATGTTGCTCCACTGTCTTCTCCCTTGCATTATTTCTGACATAAAATCTGCTGTTATCCTTAGGTTTATTCCCCTGTACATAACTTGTCTTTTTTCTCTGCTGCTTGTAAGATTTTCCTTTTTATCACTGGTTTTGAGTAATTTGATTATAATGTACCACCATGTAGTTTTCTTCATGTTTTTGTGCTTAGGGTTTATTGAATCTGCAGTTTATAATTTTCATTAAATTTGGATAATTTTGGCCATCATTACTTCAGATGTTTTTTTGTCTTCTCCCCCTGCCCTTCCCACCCCATCTCACACCCACACTGCCTCATGGACTCCAGTTACATATATCCTAGGCCTTTTGAAGTTGTCCCGCAGTTGACTGATGCTCTGTTCATTTTAATTTTTTTTTTCTTTCTGTTTAATTTTGGAAGTTTTTATTGATATGTCTTCAAATTCTCTAATCTTTTCTTTTGTAATGTGTAATTTACCATTAATCCCATCTAGTGTATTTTTCATCTCAGATCTTACAATTTTCATCTTTAGAAGTTGATTTAGATCTATTTTTAAATATCTCCCATGCCTCTATTTAACTTTTTGAACATATGAAATTCAGTTATAAATGTTAATGTCCTTGTCTACTAATTCTAGCATCTTGTATCACTTATGGGTTGGTTCCGATTGATTTTTTCTTTTGCTCATTATGGGTCCCAGTTTCCCTATTCTTTATAAGCATGGTAATTTTTGATTGGATGCCAAACCATATACATTTTACCTTGCTGGGCGTTGGCCTTTTTTGTTTTTCTAGAAATATTCTTGAACTTTGTTCTGACGTACTGTGAAGTTACTTATTAATGGTTATCCTTTCAGGTCTTGCTTTTAAGATTTCTGAGGTGAGACCAGTGCCATGTTTAGTTTAGAGCAACACTCTTTTGATCATTCTGCTCATTGCCTTGTGAAACTTGAGCTTTTCCAGTCTGGCTTGTGGGAACAGGCCCTCTTCCTAGCCCTTTGTGAATATTGGACCTTCTTTTCTCTAATCCCGGCATATGGTTCTTTCCTGGCCTGCGGTAGTTTCCTCACATGCATGCACTGACTGGTATTACCCTGAATACTCAAAGGGGACCCTCTGCAGATCTCCGAAGTTCTCTCTCTGTGCAGTTTTCTTTTTGGTACACTGTTTGTCCTAGTTAACTCTAGCTGCCTTGATTTTTCCAGACATTCAGCTTCATTTTCTTAGCTCTGGGAGTACCTGGCTTTGCGTGGGTTCCCCCTCCCTGTGCCACAACCTGGAAACTCTCAGGACAGTGAGCTGGGACAGTCATAGCACTCACCTCATTTTTTCCCTTTCCTTCAGGATTCACAGTTTATTTCCTTATGTCTTGTCTGTTGCAAACCATTGGGTTATATATTTATTTTGTTTTGGTTGTTTTATATGGGAGGATAAATCCCTGTTACTACATTTGGCCAGAAGTAAAGGTTTAATTATTTAATTTTATTTAACATTTTTGCCTGTTTTTCTTCTCTTTCAATTTGAACTATTAATTCTTGAATACTTGTGAGCTGAGTAAGGACCAGTAGGTGGGTCTTCAAGGCACAAATGGAGGCTCCTTCATGTCCAAGAGGTTTCAGAGTTTCTAAAGATATAACTTTTAATTTGTATACTTGAACAGATATACTTGATTACCTCTTTTGTGAATTTGATCTTACATAAGAACTCTCTTCTAATAATATGCCAAGCAAAGGCATAAACAAAGGAGAATACTTTTTTTCTTTCATTGTGCTCTTCTCTCAGACTTACAGTTTTACTTAGTTCATGTTTTTTAGCTTTACTAGTTAAAACAATTTAATACATTGCTCTGAAAGTCACATAGAACATTCTTGGAGTAAGAAGCAGTACAACTCAGGCTACTCTCTCATACAATAGTGTGAGACACCAAAGTGGGTAGTTAACACATTTAAATATATCTATAATATATGGACAATCACTAACTTTCATGGCTGTTTTAGTCAGAAAAAAACTGCATAACATAGAAATGTTAGCTATAGACAAATGTTTAATTCTTAGATTCTAAAATTAACTTTGCTGTTCTCCATTATCAAATGGGAAATTGAACTAACAAATTAGAAGTTCTACTATGATTCTTTAAATCATTCCTAATTTTCTCAACTTTTTCTTATAGCCTGCTCTCAAGTATGTGTTGTATGCATTGGTTGGCTTTGTGGGATTTGTCACCCATTATGTGCTGCCTCAAGTTAGAAAACAGCTCCCGTGGCACTGTTTCTCTCATCCTCTGCTGAAGACAGTGGAGTATAATCAGTATGAAGTTCGAAGTAAGTATTTCACTAACACTGTTCTTTTTAATACTATGATTTTTTCCCCTTTACTATGCTGATAGATGTTTGAATTAAATAAGTATCATCAAGCAAAACTATGGCTTGTGTTTCTTGTTTGAAGCTATTAATGAATTAAATCTCTTGCATCATGCTTTAATTTCAGGTGAAGTATAAGTGTCAGTGCTGCAATGCCAACTTACCATAGAAAAAACTTCTTCCTTCTCTGAATTGTTCTTCACAGCCCTCTCATTGGTGAATGTCCTGTGTATGTTTATGAATTGTCTTTCCCTTCTCTACTCCCAATCAGTTCTCCTTGCACTATACAGACAACCCAATTCTCTTTAAGGCCTCTATTTGAAATATTTTTAATTTAAAGCGTAAGGAGGAAAGAAGGGTTTTTGTTTCTGTTTCTGCCATAGACACTATGTTCTACCAAAGAGGAGTATAAAAGGGTTGATAAAGTGAAAAGACGTTAAAACCATTTTGTAACTGCTGTTATTAGTTCAGATTGGGGTAAAGTATCAAATGACTCAAAAAACAGACAGGCCAGTCTGCTTGGCAAGCTTCTTCTTTGCTACTGTAAACACTGACTTGTTTTTCTTGTTGTGAGTAGTCAATTCTTGTTCATGGGCCCTGTGACCTATACTATACTATACTTCCACATTGTAGAGAAGTGACAAAATCTATACCTGTGTCATCCTCTATTATATACCAGTCATTAAATAAGCCAACTGTTTTCCCTCAAACTTTTTTCTTCAGTTAGTGAATTACTGTAACACTATAAAGAGAGTAATCACTTAATTGTTTGAAGGTGAATTAACTTTTTAGGAGAACTCGGGAGCCTTCAAAAGCTTTCTATACCAAACTTAACTACATTCTCAAAGAAAATTTCCTGGGCCTTTTAGTGAAATTGATTGAAGCATCATGTTGCTATAATCTTGATCACCAATTTGATCCTGAAGAGATAATTTAATTAAACAAACACTAATGTATATGTTGCAGTAAGAATACTGTAGACCTTTTGAAACATATGTACTCTTCTAATATGGGGAAATGACATGAAACTGTGTAAGAATCTGTACTGGCCCATTTCTGCACATCAGGAAGATAACTCAGAATGAGATATTTTTTTGATGGTGAGCTATTCGAATTGCTTTCATATATTAATCATAGCACAATTATCTAGTGTGTTTTAAAGATAACAGTTTTCATTAAGATAAGTCATTGATCATATTTTTTATTTTTGATCTTAACAAAACATTTAGACTAAATTTTTACAATTTTGAATCAGTATAACAGTTTTGACTTATTGAAAGTACTAGGTTATAGCAAACCTAGTACTACTGATAGCAAACCTTCCTCCTACTGATTTTAGCAACTGAAAGAAAAAATATGACTTATTAGAGAACTTCCTAAAGCCAGGTGATACTGTTTTCAGATAGCTGAAGAACCATGTTTTAAGTCCAGTATCGAAGTACTGGAAAAAATATTGGTAATGAAAATGACTCATGAAGTGTGTGGATTCACATATATCATGTTTTTGTATCTGTTCTATTATATCTTAACATCTGTATGTATGTATGCATGTATGTATATATAAGCATTTTTAAAAGATAATTTAATAGGTCATTAATTTATTTTGGTTGGAAGGGGCAGCCTAATAATCTTCAGTAACCTTTTCTCTGTTAAATTATAGGCATAAGTGAGAAAAAGTTATGATTAAAAACCTACGCTTCGGGGCCGGCCCGGTGGCGCACTGGATAAGTGCGCCGCTTGGGAAGTGCGGCGGCGCTCCCACCCGAGGGTTTGGATCCCACATACAGACCGGTTCCCGCTCACTGGCTGAGCGAGGCACGGGAGCAACGCCGAGGGTTGCGGTCCCGTTGCCGGTCCCCGGTCCGGTGCGGGGACAACACTGAGGGTTGCGATCTGTTGCCGGACACGGAAAAAGACAAAAAGACAAAAAAAAAAAAAAAACCTATGCTTCAAGAATTAAAGTTTAAAATGAAATTAATCTAAAATTAAGTCATACCTAAATTGCAAATTTGTGTCTCAGAGTTCCTAGAAGTTGACAGTTGATTAAAAGTACTGTATTTCTTACATTTTTATTTATAATATGGAGTTAAATTTAAGTTGTAAGATTTTTCTTTCTCATCATATTGCCAAACCACTTTGCGCATTAGATGACATGTGATCTTCTTGACTTATATTGCCTTGTTAGATGCAGCCACTATGATGTGGTTTGAGAAACTTCATGTGTGGCTTCTTTTTGTGGAGAAGAATATTATCTATCCATTGATTGTTCTCAATGAACTTAGTAGCAGTGCAGAGACAATTGCTAGTCCAAAAAAACTGGACACAGAGTAAGTACAGTAGTCCTTTAATCTTAAGTCTGATTATTTGGGGCTTTTATAAGCAATGTCTTGTTATTGATCAAGTATCAAATAATCATTGAGTGTCTCTTCAGTGCACAGCACTGTGAGATAAAAATTGAGGTGAAATTTTGTATTTTATTTCCCTTTTTTGAATATCTATTTCTGCTCTTGATATATTCACTACTTCAGACATCTGTCACTGAGTTTTTGAGAGGACATTTATTAAATAGGGCTAATTTTTCGTATTAGATGGCAAGTTTGGGAGATGGCTCTTTTTGTTTAGTGTGTAAGTGATGCTATATAGGTTGGTCAGTTGCCTACATGGTCATCCTGTAGGCCTACCCACTAGAGTAGGTACATGTTGTGAGCAAGTGTTAATATATGTTTAATTAAATGGCTAAATGCCATTAATGTTAAAGCAATCGAAATATTGAGAAACTAAAAAACCAGATGTCAGAATAACAGTACTGTTTATTTTTTAAACATGCTTATTTTATGTAAAAAAATAAGAATCATAATACATACTATTAAAGGGGAATATTATGCTAGTCAGTTGCTTTTAGGATGTGATTTGCTTAGCTAAGTATATCATTTTTAGAAGCATAAATTTGATCTATATATTGTAATTTTTGTAAATTAAATGGTGATTTTTCTAAAGTTAGTAGATTTTATTTATTTATTTATTTTTTTAAAAGATGACCGGTAAGGGGATCTTAACCCTTGTCTTGGTGTTGTCAACACCACGTTCACCCAGTGAGCGAACCGGCCATCCCTATGTGGGATCCGAACCCGGGGCCTTGGTGTTATCAGCACCGCACTCTCCCGAGTGAGCCATGGGCCGGCCCTAAAGTTAGTAGATTTTCTAATGTTTTCCATCTTGAGTTGATTGATGAGTTGTATTTTCTTTGTATTATAGATTAGGTGCTTTAATGATCACCATTGCTGGTTTGAAGTTGCTACGATCCTCTTTTAGCAGCCCTACATATCAGTATGTCACAGTCATCTTTACTGTGCTCTTCTTCAAATTCGACTATGAAGCTTTTTCAGAGACCATGCTGTTGGATCTCTTCTTCATGTCCATACTCTTCAGCAAGGTAATTTATTACTGAAAGGAATATCCCTGTCTGTAAAAAACTATCTCACTATGTAATTTGCTACTTAGTGAGGATTATGCTTATATTTCATTTGATTTATTACCTTTTAAATAAGTAATATCTCTCTTTAACCAACCAGTCATTTAGGAGCATATTAGAATCCCTAAACAGTGCTAGTCACTGTCATCCATATAAGATATATTCCTTGCTATAACTAGGAAGATAAGATTAAGTTATATGCAAGAATTAGAGAAACATTAATAAGTATACATTTAAAAATATATGGTCTTTCAGAAGTGGGTATGGTTTTTGAATAATTTTAGAAATAGAAGTAATAATTGAGTTTGGCTCTGTGCTACTGGATAGAAGGAGGGAGCACATTCTAGCTGTGAATAATAACCTGGTAGCTGAATGTAGACAGTGAGGCCATGTAGGAGCAATCAGAAATTAGCTTGATGTGACATTTGCAGAATACTCTGAAGTCTACAGAGTGCTTCTAAAATTCATTATCCACCCATACAGGTGTTCATAGGCCCTTTACAAATGAGATGGTAAAACCTGGATCTTCTGCCTCCCAATCCAAGGACTTTTTTTTTTTTTTTTTTTTTGCTGAACCACACTACCTTTCTAAATGAAATAGGTTGTAAAGTCAGATTATTTGTAAATTAAGTAGTGATTAGATTTGACGTTAACTCTAACCACATACAAAGGACTTAGACATGTATCATCCCATTTGGTAAGTAACAGAGCTGAAGCAAATGAACAGATACAAAACGCAATGAAAGTTCAATTTTAGGAAAGTTAGCCTGGTCAGCCTCATTTGGGATGGGTTGAGAAAGAGAGAACCTAAAGGTACGGAGAATAGTTTAGGAGATTTTGACAGTCAGATGTGACAGAGGTTTGACCTAGGGTGGAAACAGTAAAAATTTAAAAACAATCTGAACAAGGTTTTAGTAATAGTTTCACTATTGTGATTAATAGCTTCTAAAATATTTCAGTGTTACATTTGTTCAACCACTAATCTCTATGCATTTTTATCATTTATTTCCTCTAATGAGCATAGTGAGCATGGTTATTAACCAAAGGAGGAAGTCAGAAAGCTAATGAGAGAATTGTTTGAATAAAGAAGCATGTGATTTCTCACAATTTAAATATTTAGATTGAAAATTGTATTGCATTTTATTATACTGATTGGAAAAAAAATAAAAATTATACTAAAATATAAACTAAACAATCTTTGAAATATAGTTGCTACACTTAAGTCTGCATTACGTTTGATTTTTCTAATACTTTGATTTGTTAAATATTTTGGGGGGAGCATACCATTTTCCAGATCTGTTCTAAATGGTTAGGCTACATCAGTGAACAAAACAGAAAGCTCAGAAAGCTCTGCCCTTGAGGAGTTTGCATTTTATATGGTTAGTAGATAGAACTTAACAGTGATAACAAGCAAGTAATGTTCAAGAAATTTTTTTAGGTTTTATTCTAAGATGTTTCTGTAAGGTGCACCACCAATTTAATAACCTTTCAAGAAGAAATTAAATGTATGCGAAAGTGTTAATACCTACCAACCTCATACCTATGTAATTACATGTCATTTTTTCCTTCAATACCTCAGTAAAAATTTGAGTATAGTATGTTTCACATTTAGAATCTGTAGTTCTCCGAGTCACAGCTTTTAAGTAGTTCTAATGGCATCATGATGATATACATGCTTCTTCTACTTTCTGTGATCCTGATCACATTAGTACCAAAGATTGCCAGCATAATTTTGAGTCATGATAAAGAATACTGGAGTTCATTTGCATTTTGTAATTTGTTGAAGTTGTGATTTCTTTTTTAAAATGGAAGTTAAACAAGTTCTTTTGTAACTCAGCTGAAGTATTTGAAGAGATGAAATGTTTGTTGCCTGATCATAGCACTGAACCTCTTACTTCTGAGATTCTGTGATCTGTTTTGAGAGTTGGGCTTTGCACTGTCTGACATACTGAGGCAGTCTTGGACAAATGCAGCAACTCTATTTCAGCACTGAAGACATGTTCAACAATAATAACAGGTCCACATTTAAGTAAGATTGAAATACATATTGTGTTTCCATTGACAACAGTTGAGGTTATGAACAGATGCCAAGTGCGCACAACTAAATTCCTTTGCAAAGAGGCAGTGGCAGTTGTATTACAACTGCTGTCTTCAGACTCATTTTGACATTGCATTTGAAACATACTCAGTTTCCAAAGGACTGAAATTTGGGAGAAATGTGTTTTAGAATCAAATAAATATATGCATTACTTAAGATTTACAGAGATCTAGATTTTTCTTTCAAGGACCATTATTTTGCTGCTTCCTGCCTTTTTTTGTTTCACTTATGGTAGTATTAATAAGACCAATAGAAGGCATGGAAATTTCTATTTTTTTATTTTTATTGTTTGCTTTATTTTATTTTTTAACATTTATTTTTACATGTTTATGGGGTACAGTGTGTTGTTTCAATACATGCATATACTGCACAACGATTCACTTAGGGTAGACAGCATAGCTTTGTCCCACCCATTAGTCCACCACTTTTCCTCCCCACTGCCACTTCTGGTAACCATTATTCTACTCTCTACTTCTATGAGAACCACTTTTTTTTTTAGATTCCATTTTTATTTTTTAGATTCCACATGAATGATATCATGCAATATTTGTCTTTTTGTGCCTGACTGACTTCACTTAACATGATGGTTTCCAATTCCATCTATGTTGTTACAAATTAAAGGATATCATTTTTTTTTTTAATAGCTGAGTAGTATTCTATTGTGTGTGTGTGTGTGTGTGTGTGACACATGGGTTTTTTATCCATTCATCTGTTTATGGGCATTTAGGTTGATTCCATCTCTTTGCTATTGTGAATAGTGTTCTGATGAACGTGGGAGTGTACAGGTGTCTTTTTGATATATTGATTTCATTTCCTTTGGGTATATACCCAGTAGTGGGATAGATGGGTTGTAAGGTAGATCTGTTTTCAGTTCTGTGAAGAACCTACATACTGTTTTCCACAGTAGCTGTACCAATTTACACTCTCACCAGCAATGTAGGTGAGTTCCTTTTTCTCTGCATCCTTGCCAGTATGTGTTATTTTTTGTCTTGTTGATAATAGCCACTCTAACTGGAGTGAGATGATACTTCATTGTGGTTTTAATTTGCATTTCTGTGATAATTAGTGATGTTGAGCATTTTTTTTTTCATGTACTTGTTGGCCATTTTGTATGTCTTTTTTAAAGGAATGTCTGTTCAGGTCCTTCACCCATTTTAATTGGGTCGTTTGGGTTTTTTGGTGTTGAGTTGTTTAAGTTCCTATATATTCTGGACATTAGCCTCTTGTCTAATGTGTAGTTGGCAAACACTTTCTCCCAGTCTTTATGTTGTCTCTTCACTTTGTTGACAGTGTTCCTTGCTATGCAGAAGCTTTCTATGTGATGTAGTCCCATTTATGTATTTTTGCTTTAGTTGCATGTGCCTTTGTAGTCTTACTCAAAGAAGTGCTGCCCACTCCTGTTTCCTGTATACCTGTATAGCATTTCCCCTATGTTTTCTTCTAGTAGTCTCATAGTTTTGGGTCTTAAATTTAGGTCTTATCCATTTCAAGTTGATTTTTGTGTATGGTGAGAGATAGGAGTCTAGTTTCAATCTTCTGCATGGGAACATCCAGTTTTTCCAGCACCATTTGTTGAGGAGGCTGTACTTTCCCAACTTTATATTTTTGGCACTTTTGTCAAAAATCAGTTGGCTGTAAGTGCGTGGGTTTATATTGGGTATCTATATTCTATTCCATTGGTCAATTTGTCTGTTTTTATGCCAGTACCATGCTGTTTAGGTTACTGTTGTTTTATAGCATATTTTGAAATCAGGAAGTGTGATACCTTCAACTTTGTTCCTTTTGTTCAGTATATGGGGGCTTTTGTAGTTGCATACAAATTTTAAGATTGTTTATATTTCTGTGAAGAATGTCATGGGTGTTTTGAAAGGTATGACATTGAATGTGTAGATTCCTTTGGGTAATATGGGCATTTTGATGATGTTAGTTCTTCCAACCCACAAACATGAACTTTCCATTTATTTGTGTCCTCTTCAATTTTTTCACCAATGTTTTAGTTTTCTTTGTAGAGATCTTTCAGCTTCTTCATTAAATTTACTCTCAGGTATTTGAGGTTTTTTTGGTGGCTACTGTGAATGGGATTACTTTTTTGATTTCTTCTTTGGCTATTTCATTGTTAGCATATAGGAAGGCTATTGCTTTTGGTGTGTTGATTTTGTATCCTCACACTTTACTGAATTCATTTATTAGTTCCGGTAATTTTTTAGTGGAATCTTTGGGTTTCCTTGTATAGGATCACATCATCTGCAAATAGAGATAGTCTGACTTCCACTTTTCTGATTTGAATGCCCTTTATTGCCTTCTCTTGCCTTATTGCACAGGCCAGAACTTCTAGTACTGTGTTGAATAGAAGTAGGGAAAGTGTACATCCTTGTCTTATTCCAAATCTTAGAGGAAAAGTCTACAATTTTTTTGTCCGTTCAGTATGATATTAGCTGTGGGTTTGTTGTACATGTCCTTTATTGTGTTGAGGTACGTTCCTTCTGTACCTTACTTGTTGAGTTTTTTTTATCATGAAGGGGTGTTGGATTTTATCAAATGCTTTTTCTTCATCAGTTGTGATGATCATATGGGTTTTTTTCCTTCATTCTGTAGATGTGATGTTACACGTTTATAGATTTTAGTATGTTGAACCACCTTTGCATCCTGTGGATGAGTCCCATTTGATCATGGTGTATGATCTTTTTAATGTGTTGTTGGATTCTGTTTGCTTGTATTTTTTTGAGGATCTTCACATCTTTGTTCATTAGGGATATTGGTCTGTAGTTTTCTTTTTTTGTTGTGTCTTTTTATAGTTTTGCTATGAGGGTGGTGCTGGCCTTGTAGAATGAGTTTGAAAGTGTTCCCTCCTCTTCAATTTTTTGGAAGAGTTTGAGAAGAATTGCTATTAGTTCTTTTAATGTTTGGTAGAATTTGACAGTGAAGCCATCTGGTCCTGGGGTTTTCTTTATTGGAAGACTTTTTATTACTGCTTCCATCTCATTATTTGTTATTGGTCTGTTTAAGTTTTTCAGCTCTTCATGATTCAACCGTGGTAAGTTGTATGTGTCCAAGAATTTATCCATTTCTTCTAGGTGTTCCAGTTTGTTTGCATATAATTGTTTGTAGTAGTCTCTTATGGTCCTTTGTATTTCTGTGGAATCAGTTGTGATATCCCCTTTTTCATCTCTGATTTTATTTGACTCTTCTCTTTTTTTCTTCTTTAGCCTAGCTAGATGTTTATCAATTTTGTTTATCTTTTTGAAAAACCAACTCTTTTTTTCATTGATTTGTTTTTGTTGTTGTTGTTGTTGTTTTGTTTTGTTTCTTTTTTTTTTTTTTTGTATTTTTTTAATCTCTAACTCATTTATTTCTGCTCTGATCCTTGTTATTTCTCTCCTTCTACTGATTTGGGGTTTGGTTTATTCTTGTTTTTCCATCTCCTTGAGGTGTAACATTAGGTTGTTTATTTGGAGTCTTCTTTTTTGATAGTCATTTATTGCTGTAATCTTCCCTCTTAGAACTGCTTTTGCTGTATCCCATAGGTTCTAGTATGTTGTGTTTTCATTTTTGTTTTTCTCCAGAAAAATTTTAATTTTCTTCCTGATTTCTTCTTTGACCCATTTGTTGTTTAGGAGCATATTGTTTAATTTCCATGTCTTTGTATGGTTTCTGGTGTCCCTTTTGTTGTTGATATCTAGTTTTATCCATTGTGATTGTAAAGGTAATTGATATTATTTCAATTATTTTTTAAATTTGTTAAGACTTGTTTTGTGTCCTAACATATAGTCTCTTCTAGAGAATGTTCCATGTGTTGCTGAGAAAAATGCATATACTGCAGCTGTTGGATGAAATGACCTATAAATGTCCATTAGGTCAAGTTGGCCTATAGTAGAGATTAATTCTAATGTTTTCTGGTTAATTTTCTGTCTGGATGATCTATTCTTTGCTGAGAGTGGGGTATTAAAGTCCCCAGCTATTTTTGTGTTGGAGTCAATCTCTCCCGTTAGGCCCAGTAGTAATTGCTTCATATAATTGCGTGCTCCAGAGTTGAGTGCATATTGGTTCTCATTTTATAGTACATTCAGCCACTCTGTGTGTTTTGATTGGAGCATTTAATCCATTTACATTTAGGGTTATTATTGATATGTGGGGACCCATTACTGCCATTTTGCTGGTTTTTTTCTGGTTGTTTTGTGGATCCTTTTTTCCTTTTTTCTGGTCTTACTCTCTTCCTTTGTGGTTGAGTGGTTTTCTCTGGCTTTACATTTTGCTTTCTCACTGTTTTAGTATGCCTCTTATAAGTTTTTGTGTTATGGTTACCATTACACTTACAAAAAACATGTTATAGTTATAACAATTATTTTAGACTAGTAACAACTTAACTTCGATATCCAAGAAAAAAGAAAAAACCAAAGCTAATTCTATGCTTTGGTGTCACTTCTTCCCACTTTTTGACAATTTGTTGTTTCAAGATACATCTTTTATTTATTTATTTATTTATTTATTTATTTTATTTTTTCCAGAGCTCACATACGGTTTAATTGTGGGGAGGCTCGGGGAGGACAAAGAGTCAAGAATAGCATTTTTACCAAGTTGGCCTAAAAAATGAAACAGGATCAGGACATGACGCCTTCACTGACAATTACAGTAAATTTCAAAATCCAAGCAGCAATTGGAATTCTTTTCAAGATATACCTTTTAATATTGCCTTTCTCATATGATTGTAGTATTATGTTAGTGTCTTGTTAGTTTTGTCCTTTAGTCTTCATACTAAGGTTAAGTGATTTATTCACCACCCTTTCGATATTGGAGTATTCAGAGGTTGTCTGTGAACTTACTTTACTAATGAATTGTGTACCTTCAAATGTTTCCTTGCTGCTCTTTAGCATCATCTTCTTTCAGATTGAAGAACTCCCTTTAGCATTTCTTGTAAAGCAGGTCTTTTGTTGGTGAATTCCCTTAGCTTTTGTTTCTCTGGGAAAGACTGTTTCTCCTTCATATTTGAAGTTTAGTTTTGCTGGATAGAGAATTCTTGGCTGACAGTCTTTTTCCTTCAGCACTCTGAATATATCATCCCATTCTCTTCTGGCATGTAGGGTTTCTACTGAGAAATCCGCTGAGGGACATAACAGGGCTCCACTGAATGTTAAATGTTTCTTTTCTCTCGCTGCTTTCAGTATCTCTCTCTCTTTGGTTTTTGATAATTCATTTATGATATACCTTGGGGTGTCCTTGTATAGAATTTGACTGGTGACCTCTGAATTTCCTGTACCTGAATGTTGTCATCTTTCCCCATACTTGGGAAATTTTCACCTGTTATTTCCTTGAGTATGCTTTCTACATCTCTTCCTTTTTTCTCTCCTTTGGGTATGCCAATTATGTGGAGGGTTATTTCACTCGAGGGAGTTCCATTATTTGCTGTATTTCTATTTCATTTTTTCTTTTTGCTCCTCTGTTTGGATAACTTCAGGTGTTTTATCTTTTAGCTCACTAATTCTTTCCTCTGTTTGATTAAACCTGCTGTTGGAGCTTTCTATTGAGTTTTTCTATTCAGATAATGTTTTCTTTATTTCTAGAATTACTATTTGGTTTTTTAAAATTGATTCTATTCCTTTGTCAAGTTTCTCGTTCTGCTCCTGAATTGTTTTCCAGATATTTAATCTTCTATCTGTATTTTCTTGTGACTCCCTGAACATCCTCTTATAAGAGGGTAATTCTGAATTCTCTGTCAGACATTTCATATATCTGCTGTTGTTCTGCATCCACTACTGGTGCTTTGTTTCAATTTGTGGCAACATATTTCTCTGTCCTTCCTTGATCTTTGTGTCTCTACTTTGATGCCTAGGCATTTGAGAAAACTGTTATCTGCGGCTGATGCACTGGGGAAAGCTTTTTGTTAGGATTGTTAATCACTTCTGGGTCTGAGCTACGTGGAAATTCCGGTCTGGGATGGGGTCTCTCCTGCAGATTGAGCCCCCTGCATTCTGTTGCCCTGACTGATTTCCACTGAGACCAGCTGCCCATGCTGTACCCAATGTTCCCCCCATGGGACAACCTTTCTCCTGCACTCTGACTGCTTCCCATGTGGCAGGCTGTGTGTACATCCCTCATGATAACTCACTGGCCTCTGGGTGGCTCTCCTCTTCAGTCTCTTGTAGCTGTCTGCTCCTGTGAGGTATGGAGGAATCCTGCCATGGACTTTGTGGCCTGTGGGCTGGTATGGTGTGCTCCAAAGCCCTCCTTTCCCCTGCAGACTCTAAGCAAGTTTACTTGGAGGGTGCTGCTGTGGCTTTTTCCAGCTTGTGTAACTGCTAGGCCCTGCCTCCTTACCTGGCTGGCTCAGAACAATAGGTGCCATCCCTACACCCTCTCACCATCATCTCACACTTTCACGAACTCCGAACTCCGTGGGTCTCTCCTCCTCCTCCTCCAGCTCCAGGGGTTCCAGGTTGGCAGTCTTTGCTTTTTAATAGTTGTAAATTGGTTAATGTGCGAAGGTGAGATTCTGGGAATTATCTATTCTACCATCTGGATAATGTCATTCTTTTAAACAGATGAAATGCAAATCTATGTCACTTAGCTGTCCTTGCTTAAAAATGGTGTCTTTACTGAAAAATAAGTGCAGTGTTTTCGCAGTTGATGTATCTTTTCCTATTATGCAAATGGAAAGTAATTTCAATGCCATTTCCCTATTAGGAAGAAAATACATTTTACAGGTCTTTCATTTTCTAATTCAAATGTCTGATAAAATTTTTTACTGACAGTTTTTCTTTTCCTCTTACAGCTTTGGGAACTCCTTTTTAAGTTGCAGTTCGTGTACACCTACATTGCCCCATGGCAGATTACATGGGGTTCTGCTTTCCATGCTTTTGCTCAACCCTTTGCAGTACCCCGTATCCTTCTAATTAAAGTTTTGTAAGAATGGACAGTCATATCCTTGATGAGAATGTCAGTTTACAGGCATAACCTTTCACAGACATAGAATATGTTACTGTGTGATAGATAAATTATCAAAAACAGTCTTTTAAGTCCAACCTGTACTGATTTTGATTTTGCAACTTGCATTAACATCTGAGGCCCACAGATTAATCTGAACATGAGAAGAGTATTAGGTTTTGTAATTAAGTAATGCCGATTTAAAATTTTGTGTTTGCATGTGTGAATATTAAAGTCCAGGAATTTTCGATATATACAAAATGTGTTTAGAAATATTTTAAAATAAATGAATGAAGATACAAAACATTTTGGCATGATATGATTTTAATTAAACTTCTCTTTGAGATTTTCTATTTTCATCATTTCTTACAAGTATTTTCTAAGTAACAGTTAAGGTTAGTGACCACATTGATTTTGAAATGCAGACTTTTGGTATCTCCAAATTTTTGTTTTAACATTTTGGAAAATTAAACACAAGCATCTCTTCCCGAGATTGATATATGGACTTTTACCAAATACATAATAGCAAATATTTATTTGGTTCCCTTCAAATGTTCATACCAGGTTGTACTCTCCTTGTAGTGTCCTTATTGGTATGCCCTTATGCTGTCCAGTGACACCCTCTTCTGTATTCCTCTGGCGAACCTCGTTTCTCTGTTGCTGTAATCTAAATGTGTTTGTGAGATTTTCTTTTTTGGCATGTGTGCTCAGATGAACGTTAAGTTCCTTAACCAGTTTTCCATAGATTCAGCCATGTTGTTCATCCAGGCTGCTGTGTCAGCCTTCTTTTCTACTCCACTGAACCCCTTTCTGGGAAGTGCAATATTCATCACTTCATATGTTCGACCTGTGAAATTCTGGGAGAGAGACTATAAGTGAGTAAAACAAAACAACTAGAAAGACAATTTTTATCTTTTTTACTAGGAAAAACTATTGACAACATTACTGGAAGTTATTTGTGGTTCATAATATGTTGTGTTGAAATAATTTGCTAAAAATTTATAAATATTTTTAAAATTTGAAAATCATATTTTAAAAGGTCAGAGAAAATTACTTTTTATTTTCTGTCTTTTTCCTACTCATAAGACTTTTAAAAACATACTTCTAATTGAGTATATTCATTTTTGTATCCTTTTTCTTTCAGTGGTATTTCTCCAAATTATTGCACATTAGTAATACTGTGAAACTTTCTGCTCTACAAGGTTACATCATTATAACAGTCCTAATGAATTATCTCATAGTTTTATTAGTAATAGTTGGATGTTTCTAGAACTAAACTTTTTGTAGGTTATTTCTACCTTTTTGTGAATTTAAGTTTTTAATGACTATCTTTGTACATGAAGTGTTTTCTCCATGTAGACTTAGTTCCTTAGGCTACCTATTTAATCTAATGCTTAGTAACTCTCTTTGTATGCATTCTCTCCAAATTTCATTTAAGGAAGAATTCCTAAACAGGGAATTACTGAGTTATGGAGATTTTACTATGTATCAACTCATTGATTTAGAAGGAACTTGTACTAACTTATAATTCTGCTGGCATTCTCCACAACTACCTTTTTCTCTACATTTTTGCACATTGGTATATTTAACAGGTGAAAATTGTAGTCCCAGCTTTTAAACAATGAACTAGTTTGTGGGTTTGAAACTTTTACTGTGGTCCTTTATATGAAACCACACATGGTGTTTCCCATTTTGGCGAATTTCAGTGTTTTTTATATCCTATTTTTTTCTTCTGGGCCCATTTTTAGCCCAATATAATGTTCTATGACAGCAGTTCTTAAACTTTTTGGTCTCAGAACCCCTTTACACTTTTAAAAATTATTGAAAATGTCAATGATTTTTTGTGTGTCGTGTTGTCTACCAATATGTACTGTAGTAGGGAAAAAAACAATAAATTTCAAATGTTCATTAATTTAGAAATAATGATATGTTCATTGGATGTTAACATAAATAACATTTTTAAACTAAGAATAACTGTATTACCCTTCCCACCAAAAAAAGTAGAAGAATGGCATTGTTTATAGTTTTGCAAATCTCTTAATGTCTGTCTTATTAAAAATTACCTGTATTCTCATATCTGTTTCTCCATTCAGTCTGTTGCAGTATGTTGTTTTGGTTGAAGTGCATGGAGAAAATCCAGCCTCACACACTTATGTATTTGGAAAAGAAAGAAGCATTTTAATAGCCTTTTAAGACAATTGTGGATAGTTTTTTTTGATCCTTTACTAAAAGTCGACAAATAGTAGTTTCTTAAATTTTAGTTGCAACATGGAATCTAAAACTGTATCTATGAACTTTTGCAAGTGTGTTACAAAATTCATTCATCTGTGTTGTACTTTGAATGGGTTTTTTGCCCATGCATAACTTTGTGACATGATTTATTGGTCATTTGGAAAATATTGGTTCACTGAGTAATGTAGACCTTCCAAATGTTGACACATTTTATTATGCAATGTTTTTAAAAATGTGTTCACTAATATCACCACCAATCTCAAAAGAAAATTCTTTAAGTATTGGGAAGCTATTAAACTCATGGTGGTGGATGCATGTTTTCCAAATTCTAATTTTTTGCTTGAAAGCTTGAATTTTATCATTGTCAATAGATATTGCCAATTGTTTTTCTTGAAATAACAGACTCACTTTGTTTTTAAGAAATATCTGTTAAATACCCACATTTGAATAATCTCGTAGTTTCTCTATCAGCTATTCAAGTAGAAATGGTGTTCCAAGAAAAAAATTAGCTAGTTCAGCTTGTAGTATACACAGTTGCACCAGTGCTTTCCCTGGAGACAACCATTGTACTTGAGAATGCAGCAGAAGTTCTTTATGTGTGTTTCTCATTTTGCCACACAGAATATTTAAAAGGCCTGCTTTGAGGGTTTCACACTTAATAAAATTAATAATTTTTACTTCTTCGTTGGGGACCTTTTTAACTGAAACTTGATTTTTTTTGTCTGTTTCATTGTGCATATGTGGCAGTGAAGAATAGTACAGTTTGGTGCCACTGCCTTGATTCATGCTCAGGCACCCATGGTCCGCCATTGCTTTTACACCATCAGTGCATTTGTCAACACCGTGAAAAAGGCAAATAACAGCTCAATATTATTATGAAAATGGTCTTTATCTGGAAAACTCCCTGAAAAAGTCTTGGGTTCTGTGGACCACATTCTGGGAACCACTGTTCTAAAGAATACCATTCTACTGGGCATTATTAGATGTACCTTTCCCTTACAAAGAATGTTTCATGCACTGTAAAGTTTTAAGAACCACGTACAGTATGCATTTTTTCATCCTGGTCAGTTTTTTTCACAGTACAATTACAGATGTCTTCCTACACACTGTGCAATGAAACACCAATTAGTAAAAAACTGCTATATTAATTTGTGGTGAAGGTGGGAGAGCAAAAAGAAAAACCTTAACTCTAAAAAACTAAGGTGTTTTATTATTATACTAATCATAGATTTTTTCCCAGAGATTTTCATAGAATGGTAATATTTATTTCTTCTATAACCTATAGTTTCTCACTTACAATTATTAAACATTTTTTAAGTGTAAAGGAAGTCTCTAAAAATGTTTTACTTTGTTCTCTTTAGCACAAAACGAGTGGATCATTCAAATACCAGATTGGCTTCCCAGCTTGATAGAAATCCAGGTAATAGCGCTATTTGTGAGTAAGGAGGATTTGTTTTACATATGTGCATATATATGTGTGTGTGTGTGTATTACATGTGTATGTGTATCACTATGTATATTTATATTTATTCCCAACTTGCTTGGAATCCTATATGTGTTCTCAATAGACACTTCAGCAAATCATATGTAAATTAGAGTATCTATAGTTTATATACCCACCTTTTAAAAATGCATTTTAAGAATGCTGATAGGAATAAAAAAATACCTTTCAAAGATTGTTCTTACATAAGTTAAAAAGTAGAAAACAGTTAAAACTGATTAGATGTGTTGAAAGGTATACAGTCGGATGACACATTTTTTAAATATGTTTGCTTCCACCCTTCCCCAAATGTTGAAGTAAATATTAATTTAATTTTATGTAGTTTATTGCATACAGAGATTTCATATGGGGATGGGGGGCAAATACCACTCAACATAGGTCTTCAGTGGATAGTGCTTTGGTGATGTCACCATTATCTAAAGGTTCTTGGTTTTGTCTTTTGGGAAGCATCATTTTATTAGCTTACGCGATAGCAATATGACATAAAGTGAATCTCACTGCCCCCGCTATAAGGTATTAACATATCAAGCAGAATTAGATACAATGTATAGTTGACCCTTGAACTACATGGGTCCACTATGTGATTTTTTCAATAGTCCTGTACAGTACTGTAAATGTATTTTCTCTTATGGTTTTCTTTTCTTTTCTTTTTTTTTTTTTTTAAAGATAACCAGTAAGGGGATCTTAACCCTTGACTTGGTATTGTTGACACCATGCTCTCCCAAGTGAGCTAACAGGCCATCCCTATATAGGGATCCGAACCCGTGGCCTTGGTGTTATCAGCACCATGCTCTCTCAAGTGAGCCATGGGCTGGCCCTATGATTTTCTTAATAACATTTTTTTCTCTAGTTTATTTTATTGTAAGAATGCAGTATATGAGTATAGTACATATAATGAACAAAATGTATGTTCATTGATTTCATCAGTAAGGCTTCTGGTCTACAGTAAGGTATTAGTAGGTAAGTTTTTAGGGAGGCAAAAGTTATACATAGATTTTTTGACTGCATGGGGCATCGGCATCCGTAACTCCCATGTTGTTCAAGAGTCAACTGTATTAATTTACTAAAAGAAATATTATTCCCCAGTAGAGTGGGATATTTGTATCCATGTGACTTGTAAATTCCCCCAAATGCTCTATCCATCTGAAACCAAACAGTAAGAATCAGATTGATTCTTAATTATTAAATTAGATTAAGGAGAACTAATTATTTTGTATTAATAACTGTCACTGTTACATTCCAGTGGAGAAAAGAACCGTCTCAGCTCTAGTATGTGCTTGTAATGGGCTGGAATTCTCATGGTGCTGATGATGCCATCCTGCGTAGCAAAAAAACTGTGTCCTAAATCTCTGTGCATACTTTTGTGATGGGCAGATATAGGATTAGATACAATTATTCTATTAGCATTAGAATCTGGAGTTCCCCTTTCATCATTATATTATCTAGTTAGGCTGAGTTTAAAGTAATTATTAAGCTTTAATATTTTGCTATTCTTCAATACTGTACTTTGAGCACCCATTTACTGATTGTTGCTTTGGATCAGTTTGTTTTAGAGAAGGTCATTTCATTATTTGAGTTAAGGTTTTTTCCTAATGTTTTTCTTAAAGGATAACTCTAACTTCTAGTTGTGTAGGTTCTTTGCTGCTGTATCTGTATATACAGTCTATTTCTGCTTAATATTAGCCATCTTACTATACAGGTACTTTTTGACTGACCAACTTTTCTTTGTTTTGGGCTGTCTTGTTCAAATCTTTTATTATTTTACCTATTTCCTTTACTAGAAGAATTCTTCTTCTGAATTCTTTTATCTTTTTCATTTCTTTTGCATAGTTTTAATTATAAGGCATATTTCATTTAATAGCAATAGTTTATGGACTGTTAAAGAGGTGAAAAAGTCCTTAGATTGATCTAATCAAATTCCCACATTTTATGGATGGGAGTTTCATTTTTATATAGAAATTATAAGGGCATGAATATTATTTTCTTTGTCAAATAACTATAAATATATTCTAACTGGAAGTTAGTTTTAAAACTTTTAACAGTCCTATTTGTTGATATAAATGGGACTTTAGGTGAAATTTATGGGTTTTTTTTTTTAATTCCTTCCTGTAGGATCAGATGACAACAATCTGAATTCCATCTTTTATGAACATTTAACCAGATCCCTACAGCACAGTATCTGTGGTGATTTGCTGTTAGGACGGTGGGGAAACTACAGTACAGGAGACTGTTTCATCCTGGCTTCTGACTATCTCAATGCGTTAGTGCACCTGATAGAGATAGGGAACGGTCTGGTCACTTTCCAGTTGCGGGGACTTGAGTTCCGAGGTAAGATATTCATTCACCTTTTATTTCTGTAATGTACTCCTGTGACATCTAAGTTTTATATATTTATATCTTGAATCAAAGGTTGTCATAAAGTTAGATATTTGGGATTGTACAATGAAAAAACTTGTTATTAATTAAATAGGAATAACTGAATATCGATTAACACAAATTATTAATGTAAAATATTAGTGGAATATTATTAATTAAATGATTGAGTAATTATTAGATTTTCCCCACTAAATTTCATATTCAAAGAAAAATCATTTTTGTGGCATAGTTTTATATGGAAAGGTAGTGGCATTAGTGTGTAATTGACTTATTTTCCTGGTGATGTTGAATTTCTGTTTTGTGCTTGGTCTCTTGCCAGTCCCTTTTGTGACCAGTTGCATATATTTGTTAGACAGCAAGCGGCATAGATGTATGAGGCAGAGTAGTTAACTGAGTTACATTCCCATAAAACCATGCTGTTGTCGTCAACAAATTTTAATTGAGGTAAAATTCACATAACATAAAATTAACTACTTAAAGTGACGAAATCAGTGGCATTTAGTACATTCACAGTGTTGTACAGCCACCATCTCTGTCCAGTTCCAAAGCATTTTCATCACTCTGAAATAAATCTTTGTACCCATTAAGCAGTTACTCCTCATATCTCTCTCCTACCAACCCTCTACAATTTTATGTACTGACAAATGAAGCTATTTCTACATAGAGAATTGTACATTTAGAGACAATATCAACTTGATGTTATCAACTCCTGTAAGCTGAATAGCTGTAAGCACAAGTAGAAACTTGTTTTATAAGAATTTCAAGTCCTGTTATTGAATATCTTTCCAGTCTAAAGAACATTTGGACCCAAGAGTTTGCAGGGAGTTTTTGAGCTATTATAAGACATGCTTTGGAATGTTTTTAGTCTCGAATAGGAAACAAGAAAGCAATTAACTAGAAAGAGGATCGAACCACACCTGTACCTTTTAGCTTTATTTTCACTCATGTTAAATCAGAAGGCTTGCTCCTTTGAGTTTTTATGTTAGTGGAGCAGGAACTTCTCTAGAAGTTACTTTTATTCCCTAGAAATAAGACTTTGCCTGTGCAGCTCTCAAATTAATGCAAGAAATGTTAATGTTTGTTATTTGTTTGTAATCCATTCTCTTCCCCCTATCCCCAGCCCCAGTTGTCTTATTCTTATTTATATTAGTTTCTGCCTCTCCATCAGCAGCCTAGGCCCTTAGGCCCTTAATCCTTTCTCTTCTAGAGTTTTATGCTGTTCAGATCTAATCCAAGTAGACTCATCCAAAAGTCAGCACTTCCTTACCCCCCATCTACCACTGCTGTGACTTTTAACTTCCTTTTTAGCTTTAGCATACGAAGATTTGGGCTTGTTTTTTAATTTTTAATTAAATTAATTAATTATTTTTTTCAATTGTGCATGGGAAAGCTATTTTACCTAGCATTTCTATGTGTGTGAAACAGAAAAGGGTCCTTCTTATAATCTGCTTATCCACCATATTGATCAGATATTCTTCAAGCAAAAAAATTGATCCAAATTATCATTCTCCTAACTTTCACTCTCTGGTACTGAGTAGATTCAGATAAATTTTTGGATAAATCCTTTGCTAGCCAAACTCTAATTATTTGCCAATCAAAACTCGAATAAATTTGGAAACACAGTATCCCTTGCTATCTAAACTTATGCTAGATTTGGATAGCAAGGGATATCTATAATTCTTCACTCAGACATGATGGTTATTTTTTCTTTTAAGGCAGATTTGATCATGTCATTCCCATGCTTTAAAATTTTTCAGTGACTTCCCATTGCACTTAAAATAGAATTCAAATGCTCTAACATGTCCTGCAACACTGTGTGATCTGGCCTCTGCCAATTTCACCATTCTCATTTTATACCGCTCTCTCTCTGCACTCACTCTAGCACACTGTCTTCTTAGATGTGCCACATTCTTTACTGAGGACTCCTTATTGCCCTTCCCTCTGCCCAGAAAGTACCAACTATCTCCCCTCCTCCCACCATCTTCCATCTGGCTAATTCCATAATTATATTTAGGGATTAGCCTAAATGCCACTTTCTCCGAGAAGCCTTCTCTAACCACCTATCCCACATGGTTGTCTCTTGTCTTACCCTATTTTTATATCCTTGGCACTTAGCATAGTTATAATATTATATTTATTAGTGTTTATTTGTTTAAAGTTTATTTCTTCTCTAGCCCAGGGGTTGGCAAATTTTTTCTGTTAGGATCCAGATAGTAAATATCTTAGGATTTGGGAGCCATGCACATTCTCTGTTGCATATTATTCTTTGTTGTTGTTTTTTCTTTTAAGTACTCTTTAAAAAATATATAAGCCATTCTTAGCTTGGATTATATCTGGGGCTGAAGTTTGCTAACCTTTGCTTTAGACAGTAGGCTCCCTAAGGGCAGGAATCACATCTGCTTTATTCCTCATTACGTATCTGGTAACTATCACACACAGCAATTAGTATATAATACATACCTTGTTAATTTTGTAGAATGATTAAATAATGTATGCGTAGAGGCTATTTCTCCTTTTTCTTCATTCCAGAACTCTCATGAGGTATGATTTATATTCTTGCTCAAATGTTCACGTGATCTTTGGTTATTTTCTTTCCTTTATAGTGTTATCCCCTGTCCCAGCTACCTTCCCCTCCCTCAAAATATTAATCGTAAGTGTCATTATTTTGTCATGAAAATATTTGGATCTGCCGAGCATATTGATATATTTTCTGGGACATAACTCCATTAAGCCAATTTAATTCTTTTGATTTTATTTGTCTATCATGGTGGATGCTTAATTTTAGGCAATATTTAAATAAATTTCTTGGTCAGTTTCCTAAAGGTCTTGGTTAAATCCGTTTATATTTTTAATTTCCACTTTTATTTTACTGATATTCTCAAGATTCTAACAGTAAGTTTTTTGTCTATATCAGAATTTTCTGAGTACATTGTCTACCATGTTAACTTTTTATTTGTATTACTTCCACCAAGTACAGTTTTCCAAATCAGACTTTACACATCGAAAATTTGTCATGCTGACTGGATTCCTTTCAATTTTTACTCAAATTAATATTGACATGTCTAGTTCTGATGATTGTCGGTTTTATTATTTTTACCAGTAGTGTTCACTATGAAGTGGCTGAAAGATCTGGCTAATCCAGGGAGCAATTGGTCACATATCATCACAGATATTCTAAAATCTCTTTCCAAATCTCAAAAATTTTTTTTTTCAATAATTAATATTAATTTCTGTTCTTATTATTTACTTTTCTAAGAATAATATAATACTAGTGTATGTAGGGGTTGAAAATAGTCTTGGGGTTGGTATGGTAAAGTAAAAACATCCTGCTTTAATTGAGTTACCCATTACCTTATTCTGCTGCTCTGGACAAGGATCTCATTGAGTAAATGTTGAAACTTCCAAATTCCTTCTTACCACATCTGTTCTCTGTAGACCACTAACAAAGTGGTCTGCACAAAATATAGCTCTCATGTTATTTCCTCATTTACAAACCTTTGATCAACTTCCCAGAAAGAAGGCAAAATGAACAAAATGTAGTAATAACACATATACCTAAAAAATACTCCCAACTTCATATCACATTTAAAAAAAAAACAGGCACAGTAAGTGTCTTCTAGAAATTGGCTAATTCTTTTGCTCTCTAAACTGTTCTAACACATGGATAAAGATAGAAAATTTCTCAAGGCTTTTTACAAAACTAATGTAATACTGATGTCAAAATATGACTAAGCTGGCATTAAAAAAAATAGTTAAATTTCACTTGTGACTATAGATGCAAAAATTCTTCAATTCTAGAATAAACAGAAGCCAGGAGTTTTGCTTTTTTTTAAGTACCCCTCACAAATTCAGCCATTTTTCATTTTTGAAATTAAATATCAGAAAGTAAATTAATAGAATTCATCCTATTTTAATAGGTTATGGGAGAAAAACAATATAATATGATCCTCTCAAAAGATTTCATTTCCATTATTGGTTTTTTTGTTGTTTTTATTTATTTAATTTATTTTTTAATTTTTTATTGAATCAAAATTAATTATACATATTTTTAGAGTTCAACGTTATGTTGATCAAATCAATATTACTAGCACATGTCTTGTTACAAATCGTAATTATTCTTTATGCCCCTTGTCCAATCTCTCCCCACCCCACTCCCACCCTCCTTCTCCCTCTAATTACCCTAGATTTCTTCTCTCCTTCTAAAAGAGTAATGGTTACTCTGTTGATTTGTTGCCTAGATGATCTGTCCAATGCTGAGAGGTGTGATCAGGTCCCCCAATATTATCATAGAGCAGATGCTGCTTCTGTCACTCTGAAATGGGCTTTGTGGAGAGAGACATCTTCCTCTTCTTTATCTCTACTGGTGACTCCCCTTGTGTCAATGCACTCCAGTAGTTGGCAGACCATCTGCGTCGTGGTTGTGGCGTCTAGCCACTTTCATGGCAGCCATGGTTATTGTGGTGGCTGTGGTGGGCCACTCACATGGAGGTGATGTTTTTGGCATGCTCCTTGGCACTGGGGGTATGCCTGGTTGTGAGGTGTGTCTGGTCCCCATCTCCATGCCTCGGGTCCCCAGGCAGGCCCTGAGGTGCTGGTGCAGTGTGCCTGGTTGTGGGAGGGGTTTCCAGTCCTGGATCCATGCCTCGGGTCCCTGGGTAGGCCCTGAGGTGCTGGCTCAGTGTGCCTGGTTGTGGGAGGGAGTCCAGTCCCTTTCTCCATGCCTCAGGTCCCCAGGCGGGCCCTGAGGTGCTGGCACAGTGTGCCTGGTTGTGGGAGGGGGTTCTGGTCCCCTTTTCCATGCCTCGGGGCCCCAGGAAGGTCCAGAGGTGCTGGTGCAGTGTGCCTGGATGTGGGAGTGGTGTCCAGTTGTCAGGCAGGCCCCACAGCGTTGGTGGTGTGCCTGGGCCAGAACTAAATTGTTGTCCTTTGCTTCTAAAATGGGGGAACTTCCTGTGGGAACCAGTACTTGAGCTGTGTGGTTGAGCTAAATTGCTGCTTTGCTGCTGTTTCCCTAGGGAAGGCTTTTAGTTCAGATCAGGGTTTAATGGTTGACCTTATATCTACTTCCGGCTCTCCAGAGACCCGGTGGATCTTGGTTGTGTAGAAACTCTGATCTGTATCTGAGTTTTTTCATCAAACTGCACCCCATGCAATTCTGCATTCCTGACCAGTCTCCTCTGAGTGGTCCTGTGTTGATTGGGGGGGCAGATCGCTGTCCTTGCTGTGTCCCATTGTTCTCCAGGTGGGCCCATCCCCCCTACTGCCCATGCTCCAAACACTTCCCATGGGACGGGCCCTGCACCAGTCCCTTGCGATGACTCACCGGCCTCTGAATGGCTCCCTTTTTTCAGTTGTTCTGGTTCCTCACTCCTGCGTGGGTCCACGGGAACCCTGTCAGTGGTCTTGCTGTACTCGGGGCCGCCAAGGCCCTCTTCTCCCCAGCCACCTCTAAGCAGCTCCATCTGAAGGGCATAGCTGTGGCTTCTGCTGGCTCCTGCTCCATGTGCTCATCAGTTCCAGCCTTAAAGTTGCCATGGCCAGAAACCCTCAGAGCAGTTTTTTCTTTCTCTCCTCGTGGTTTCTTACGCCTTCATGAACTCCGTGGGTCTCTCCTCCTCTTCCCCGGAGCTCCAGCTGCTCCAGCTTGGCTGATGTTACATTTTTATAGTTGTGAATCGGTTGATTTGTGGGAGACAGTGATGCTGGGAACCGTCTATTCTACCATCTTGACCGGAATTCCTCGTTATTGGTTTAAAAGATAACTTTATAAAATTGCATACATCCTTATTATACTGAAAATTGTGGATGTGTATATATATTTATAGTACTATGTATAATGGTCAGCTACCACATGTGTTCGTGTTAATGTCAGGTTCAAGACAAGGGTTTTTCTTGTCACCACTATGTAACATTATTATAGAAGTGTTGGCCAACATAATTAAACAAGAAAGTGAAATAATGGAATTGTTGAGGCTTCTAAAGTATTAAACAATACAGCTCCTTAGCTTGGCCAAAATAACTTCTTCAGCCATATTGTTCATTATACCACCACCAACATCAACTGGGACTCGGTTTTATGGCATCTGTTTCTCTCAAAGCAGTGTTTTTCAAATGTGGATGATGTATATATTCCCTTTAGAGGAAAAATATTATTATGCAGTTCAATTTAAGTTATTTTTATTATATTGTAATTTAAATATGTGCCAATATACAATTAAGTATAATCACTCTATAGTCTTTACATCATATAAGAAATTTATAAATTAAATGGAAGACCACAGAACAAAATAAAAATTAGCATTAATGTAACAGATGATATTTTGCTGGCACTAGATTGCTATGAGTATAATTCTATATTTAATCTGTTTTTGGATCTTTACTTCAGTAACACAGATGCAAAGAATGCCCATTTGATAAGCATCTTGTATAAAAGAATGTAACTTCGAAGATTTTTTTGCTAGTGCAGAATAATTAATCCTTGTACCTAATTGAAACCTTTTCAACAGGTAAGCTTCAACTGACAATAATGTAATCTTATCCTATTGGAATTGGGAACAGAAAGAGTTTTAGTTATGTATTTAATATTAAATTATAATGAACTGTTATAAGTTATATAGCCAAGCAGAATGTATATAATATTTCTGCTTGCAGCATGGACATACTTGTGAATGGAGCTCAGATTCTTTTGAGTTCTGCATATCTGCTTCTATTCCTATGTTACCAGGATGACTCAGTTCTCATTCCACTGTTCTTTTTTTGAATTAATGCACACCTTCAGGAAATGTACCTTTACTCGTTTGGCCTTCATTTGATACAAATGCAATTGTAAACCCATTTGAAAAGTTTGGAAATCGATGAGTCAAAATTAAAGAGGCTCCTTTATTGCATAAATTCCCAGAACCTTTAATGCGCTAATGCACATTGTGATTCTGCAAGAGATGAATATGTAGTATGGTTGGTTTCTGGAGTTTGCTGCTCTTTGTTAATGAGTATTTTAAGGCAAATCAATAACATTTCAAACGCTATAAAATATGTCTTTTTTTTCTAAATCTCGTGTGGCCTTGAGGCATTAATTTTTCCCACTACCTGTTTTCTCCCCCTTTGTTTATAATGGTCTCTCTCTCTCTTTTTAAAGGTACCTACTGTCAACAACGGGAAGTGGAGGCCATTACTGAAGGTGTTGAAGAAGATGAAGGATTTTGCTGTTGTGAGCCCGGCCATATTCCTCATGTGCTTTCATTTAATGCTGCATTTAGCCAGCGCTGGCTAGCTTGGGAAGTGATAGTCACTAAGTATATTCTGGAGGGTTATAGCATCACTGATAATAGTGCTGCTTCTATGCTTCAAGTCTTTGATCTTCGGAAAGTACTCACTACTTACTATGTCAAGGTAAGGGTATGTGCCTACTTAGGTCTTCAGATGATCGGAGGCTCTTCTTGGGAAAGATACATATCTCTCTCTCTCTCTCTCTCTCTCTCTCTCTCTTTCTATATATATTTTGTTTATTTGTTTAACTCATGCTTTGCTTCTAAGTAATGATTTAAATTCTCTAGTATCCAGAAAACTCAGTAAAAAAATATAAATGAAGGCCTTGCTGTTGCTTTCTTTAGTGGAACTCATTCCATTTATTCATTAATAATAGTAGCATTTGTAGCTTATATGTTTTAGGCACTGTGCTAAGGAACATACACACACATGCATGCATACACACACATATGTGTACCTTAATTCTCTAAAGAAGTGTCACTTTCCTGTTTTACAAATAAATGACATAAGGATCAGAAGTTGACTTTCCCAAGTGGAAAAGTGGATTTGGGGACTTAAAACCCAGCCTTGTCTGACTCCTGAGCCCTTGCTGTTTACCACTGCTTTGCACTACTTTCAACAAACTGAATAAAAGTATTTCAGAGTTCGGGAGGTCCCCAAGACCACACTTAGGTTCAGTAACTTGCTAGAAGGACTCAGCAAATCTGTTACACTCACACTGTACTCCTGTTATTACAGTGGAAAGATACAGATTAAAATCAGCTAAGGGAAGAGCTACAGAGGGCAGTGTCCAGAGACACCAAGGTGAGGAACTTCTAGTTGTCCTCTCCCAGTGGAGCTGTGCAGATGTCTATTTGTCACAGCAGCGAGGTGTGGCAATACTCACAGAGTGTTGCCAATCAAGGAAGCTTGTCTGAGCTTGGTGTCCAGAGTCTTTATTGGGGCACAGTCACATAGACATGGTTGACCACCCATGTGGCTGACTTAAGTCTCTAGAACCTCTGGAGGTCAAGGTGATACTGTGTGGCTGTAGGCTCCCAGCTGAACAAAGTCTGTCTTATCAGGCAGGACATTCCAAGGGCTTAGAGGTCCCAAGACATGATGGCAAAGGCCAAACCTCAGATTGGGCAAGATTAATTCTTTACTGTACCAGGTAGAATTGGCCCTCAGTATCTGTGGAGAATTGTTTACAGGACTTCCCGCAGATATCAGAATCCATGGATGCTCAAGTTCCTAGTATAAAATGGCTTGGTATTTGCATGTAACTTTGCACATCTTCCCATACATTTTAAATCATTTTTAAATTACTTCAAATACCTAATACAATGTAAATGCTGTGTAAATAGTTGTTATTCTTTATTGTTTAGAAAATAATGACAGGAAAATAAAGTCTGTACATGTTCAGTACAGATGGCAGTGTTTTGTTCTGTTTTTTTTTTTTTTTTAATATTTTTGACCTGCTGTTGGTTGAATCCATGGATATGGAGGGTTGACTGTATTCTATTTTTGCTAAAAGTTTTACAGAAATACAGCATGGTTTTGATTTGGGGGCTTGCCGGCTAAGCCAATACTTTCAAGAGGGAAATATGTGCTAATCTTTAATAACCCACATCTCCGTTTTCCATATCTTACATTGTTATCTCTGTGTTCCATCTTTTATGGGTGCCACCTTATTTGTGGTGATTGGGATGAACTTTAAGCCTTTTGTTTAATGTTTGGTTAAACCCAACCTCAGTAAGCTAGAGAGAATGATTTTACAACATTTTTTATGGGAGGGGGGCGGCAGCAGCAGTTTTTTGTCTCTAGTTCTAAATATATAATTCTGTTGCTTTATCATTAGCTATATCTATAACTTGACCTAGGATCACCAGATGGTTTTAATAACTTTCTGTGAGAATTTTTTCAAAATAAATACACCACAATAAAGGTTTTTCACCTCTCTTAAAACATCCTAATTCAAAACCTTTATAATCAATAAACTAGAATTGTTTTTAAGTTGCCTTGCTGAGTTTGTGATGTTAAAGTATTAAATATTTTTTTCATACAGGGAGGCTTGAAGTATACTATTATAGCATTCTTAAAATGTATACTTAGAGTATAGGGTATAGCTAGAATAAAGTATTTTTGAGTAATACTGTCAGTAGAAACAGTTGGAATTTATTTCACTAAGGAATTGGAGTTAATTCAAATTGTGATTTAACCTGATTTTTTTTTTTAATCTTTTCTATGTTAGGGTATCATTTATTATGTTACAACCTCCTCTAAATTAGAGGAGTGGCTAGCTAATGAGACAATGCAGGAAGGACTACGTCTTTGTGCAGATCGAAATTATGTCGATGTGGACCCAACATTTAATCCAAACATTGACGAAGACTATGATCATCGACTAGCAGGCATCTCCAGGGAGAGTTTCTGTGTGATTTACCTCAACTGGATAGAGTATTGCTCTTCCCGAAGAGCAAAGGTAGAGTTTGTTTATTTCATTTACAACTCTTTGAATCCAGGTTTTTCCAAAAATGGAAAAAATATCTATATTAGTTATTATGAGGTCAGTTTTTCCAGACCTTTCTCTTTCTGATCTTCTCGGCAAGAGAAGCTGTTTGGTTCATTATGTTTGGGCCAAACCACTCTGCCAAAACAGGTTAAAGAAAGTGGCCTTCCTCATTCTTTCATTTGCAGTGTCCTAATCTTACTGTCCAGTAGCACCCCCTCCACCCTGTGCATGCACATGCATATTCACAAATACAGTTTTACATGCGTTACTCTCCAAAATCTAGTCCTTAAGCAGTTCCCCCTCCACCTGCCAATCTTAAGGATAATTAAATATCTTTGTTCCAAATACAAAAATCTAACCAGTGCTGTCTGATAGAATTTTCTGTGATGATAGAAATGTCCTGTATTGTCCAAAAACACTTGTGTATTAAATACTTCAAATGTGGCTAGTATGACTAAAGAACTAAATTGTACATTTTAATTTTAATCAATTTAAATTTAATAGTCCATATGTCTAGTGGCTACCGTATTGGCCAGTGTGCATGTAGACCATTGATTTTCAAATGTTAATGTGGGTAAAAATGACCTAGTAACTTGTAAAATTGCATATTCCTGTGGCTCATCTGAGAGATTCTGATTCAGTAGGTAGGCTGGGAACGTAAAAATCTGTATCACCCTGAGTGATTTTAATTCAGGTGGTTCCCAGTCTACACTTTAGAATGACTTATAATAAACATCAGATGTTATACAGACTTCAGCAACTGCTACTTCCTTCTAGGTCTGGTGATGTTCATGGTAGTGTCACACCCTAGTCAGATTCCATGTAACATAACCGCAATACCAAGGACTGGGATTCCAAAGCTAATTCTTATTGCTTTCCAAGCAAAAGCCTGAGTAAGTGAACCACCAGCATCCTATGTACAGACTTACTCAGTGTCATGAATCATAGTGAGCCACTTGGACAACCAGTGCCTTTTATCATGGTCTGGAATGGACACACTGACAATCTTCAGATTTAGCACCTGGGTTAGTCCTTTCTTTGCAACTACTTAGAGTAAGGCACCCTGTCATATCAGCATCTTCTGTCTTTACTTCATCAGTAGAATGGGAGCATGTTGTACTTCCTCTCTGAGTGGTGGCCTTTGAACATTTATACTAGATGTGCAGCATGTACTGAGCAGTGTAGCTTGCTTTTTTTTTTTTCCACGTACAGCATGGTATTCAAACAGAACAGCTTATTTTTAAAGAAAAAATAATGAAAAGGATAAAATAACTTCATAAGAGGCTCAAACAAAAAGACCAGTGAACAGCTTGAAATGGAGGACCTCAAAGCTAAACTTCTCTTCTTCCAAACATATAACAGTTTTGTTTTTTCATAAATGAAAAATATTTAAAATGTCTTCCATACTGTTCTTAAATCCTTGGACTTTGAGGGGTGGGGAGCAGTTTGAGGTAGTGCGATCATGTTGTTTTAATAGCTCTTCTCTGGCTTAGATGGTATCAGTTGCTTTTGTTGTGGGTTAATCATGACCAACTGAGCTAGGAGCTCACTGTCTACCCACTCAGGAACAGGGCTTCGTCCTACCTAAACTTGAGGACCCTTCTCTTAGAGATTATTGCTGAGGTCTTAGACATAGATCAAGGAAGTCCTCGTAATTGCCGATATCATATGTTCAAAAGATTTACCTCCAAACTTGGGTATCCTCATTCTGTTCAGAGAGCTTATTATTTACTAATGTTGGCCTAGTTTATATTCTACTTTTGTAATCCCTTTGGAAGAAAATTATCAGTTGTATTTTTCTTTTTAAAAAAAAAAAAGATGGGCCGGCCCGGTGGCGCACTGGATAGTGCGCCGCTTGGGAAGCGCGGTGGCGCTCCCGCCCGAGGGTTCGGATCCCACATACAGACCGGTTCCCGCTCACTGGCTGAGTGAGGCGCGGGAGCAACACCGAGGGTTGCGATCCCGTTGCCGGTCCCCGGTCCGGTACGGGGGCAACACTGAGGGTTGCGATCCGTTGCCGGACACGGAAAAAGACAAAAAAGAAAAAAAAAAAAAAGATGACTGGTAAGGGGATATTAACCCTCGACTTGGTGTTGTCAGCACCACGCTCAGCCAGTGAGCTTACCGGCCATCCCTATTTAGGGATCCGAACCCACGGCCTTGGTGTTATCAGCACCACACTCTCCCAAGTGAGCCATGGGCTGGCCCTTCAGTTGTATTTTTCCAGCTACATACTGTCCCTTCTGCTGTAGTTTTTATTTTCAGTCGAACAAGGTTTTCTCCACTTCCTTAAGACCATGCATTCTGTTTTCTGAATCACCATTCCCAGAATAGCCTGTTCCTGGGGAAGTTAATTAAGCCATAAAGATTTGCTGACTCCATGCTCTAGTACCCTCACCTGAGTGTTAAAAAGCTGTGTCAGACTCTTCTTCCATAGTTTCCTTCCAAGGTAATGTTCTAACTTGCATATTACACAAATAAAAAATCATTCTTTCTCTAATTATGTCTGTGCCAGGAGGAAATAATCTATATACTAAAGGGCCTGAAATAATATTTTTATAAGTTTGGTCCTGGACTAACTGCATTAAAATGACCTGCAGTGCCAAATGGAAAGGATTCATCTCAGCTTGACTTCGTTTCCTGCATCTTAAATAACACAATTATTTCACCTTCCTTGTTAGTATTAGCAAGAATTCTTGGAATTTCCAATGCAGTTTCGAGAGTAGGGTACATGCTTTCTTAAACAGTAACAAAAAAGAGCTACCAGATTTGAACTAATTTTATTCTTTCAGTACATAACATATGTAGCTGCGTTATCTTCTGGTTTGCATTGCTTTTGATAAGCGTGGTCATTCTAATCTCTGTTCCTCTGAAAAAAATATGTACAATGTGATGTGTCTTTTTCAGTGGCTGTTTTTAAGATTTGTTTTCATCACTGATTTTAAGCAATTTAAATATGATGTGCCTTGGTGTAGTTTTCTCATGTTTCTTGTTCTTGGAGTACATTGAGATTCTTAAATATGTGTATAGTTTACATCAGATTTGGAAATTTTCCCACCATTTCTTCAAAAATTTTTTCTGTCCTTCCCTCCCCCTTTTGTAGGAACTCCAATTACATTTGTATTCAGCTCCTTGATGCTGTCCTTCAGCTCACTGATGTTCTGTTTGTGTTTTATTTTCAGTCTTTTTTTCTGTTTCATTTTGCATAGTTTCTATTACTATGTTTTTGAGATAATTTATCTTGTCTTCTGCATTGTTTAATATACTACTAATCCAATCCGGTATATTTTTAAGCTCAGACATTGCATTATTATTATTTTTTTTTTTGTATCTCTAGAAGTTGATTTGAATCTTCTATAACTATGTCAGTTCTGGGTCAGTTTTGATTGATTGGGTGATTAATTGATCATTCTTCTCATTATGGGTTATATTTTCCTGCTACTTTGCATGCCTTGTAGTTTTTAATTAGATGCCAGACTTTATGAATTTTACCTTGATGCATGCTGGATTTTTGCGGGGGGGAGGGGAGAAGGAGAGGGTGGCTGGTTGGTACAGAGATTGGATATTTTGTATTTCTATAAAATTCTAGAACTTCATTCTGTGACGCAGTTATATTGGAGACAGTTTAATCCTTTCAGGGCTTGCTTAGGAGGGACCATAGCAGCTTTTAGTCTGGGGCTAATTTTCCCCATTTCTGAGACAATACCCTTCTGAGTACTCTAGCCAATCAGGATATTTTTCATTGCTCCTTTCTATTCCTTTTCGACTGTTCTTTTCTTAGCCTTGGGTCATCATTGCATGTGCTGATCAGTACTTCACTGAAGACTCCAGAGGGACCTTGTGCAGATCTCCAGAGCATGCTCTTGCTGTCTCTTGCTCTCTTCTTTCGTACTTTCCCCTGAGAACTCTAGGTGACTGAGAGGCCTCTAGACTCAGCCTGTGTTCCCCTTTCTTGTGCTGTGGCCTGGAAACTCTCTAGGTAATAAGCTCTGTCAATCATAGGGCTACCTCATTTGATTCCCATCTCTCAGAGACTAGTGTCCAGTGTCTGAAAACTGTTGTTTCATATATTTTGCCCAGCTCTTGGCTGCTTCAGGTAGGAAGATAAATATGGTCTCTATTACTTTATCTTGGTTAGAAACAGAAGCATGAACTAAATTTTTAAAAAAACTTTTTTTCTCATCATACAAACAATACATTTTCAACATAGAAAATTGACAGGATGGGGGAGAGAGGGATAAAAAAAGAAACTGTGGTATATCTACACAATGGAATACTACTCTGCTATAAAAAAGAATGAAATACTGCCATACGCAGCAACATGGGTGGACTTAGAGAAAATTATATTAAGTGAAACAAGTCAGGCACAGAGAGATACCACATGTTCTCACTTATTTGTGAGAGCTAAAAATAAATAAATATACAAACAAAGGGGGGGAAGAAGACCCAACAATCACAATTCCTTGAACTTGTTAAGTGAATAGATATGATGTAGTGGGGGAGGGGAGGGGAGAGAGGGAGGGGGAAAAGAGGAGTGGGTAAAAGGACACAAAAATCAACTACAATGTATACTGAGAAGTTAAAATAAAAAAATAAAATAATATGAAATAAAACAAAACATAAATAAAATAAAAATAGAACTACTATATGATCCAGCAATCCTACTTCCAGGTATATATCCAAAGGATATGAAATAGCTATGTTGAAGAGAATGTCTGCACACCCATGTTCATTGAAGCATTATTCACAATAGCCAAGGTATGCAAACACCCTGAATGTCCATCAGTGGATGAATGGATAAAGAAAATATGGTGTATATATACAGTGGTATACTATTCCACCTTAAAAAGAAAGAAGGCCTGTCATTTACAACAACATGAATAAGGAAGGACATTATATTAAGTGAAGTAAGCTTGGCACAGAAAGACACATACTGCATGATCTCACATATATGTAGAATCTAAAGAATTTGAACTCACAGAAGCAAGGAGAAGAATGATAGTTACCAGACACTGGACTGGGGGGTGGTTGGAGAGATTGAGGAGATATTGATCAAGGAGCATAAATTTTCAGTTAGGAGGAGTAAGTTCAAGAGATCTATTGTACATCATGGTGACTATAGTTAATAAGTATATATTGTATACTTGGAAATTGCTATGTGCATAGATTTTAAAGTGTTCTTACCACAAAAAAAGTATGTGAGGTAATGCATATGTTAATTAACTGTATTTAGCCACACATTCCATGATGTATACATATATCAAAACATCATGGGCCGGCCCGGTGGCGCACTGCTACAGCGTGCTGCTTGGGAGCGTGGCGGCGCTCCCGCCGAGGGTTCGGATCCCACATACAGACCGGTTCCCGCTCACTGGCTGAGCGAGGTGTGGGCGCAGCACCAAGGGTTGCGATCCCGTTGCCGGTCCCGGTCCTGTACGGGCGCGACACTGAGGGTTGCGATCCGTTGCCAGACACGAAAAAAGACAAAAAAAAAAAACCATCATGCTGTACACCATAAATATATACAATTTTAATTTGTCCATTAAAAATAAGTAATAAAAAAAATCACCCATAATTTTGTCTCACATTATAATCACCTTTAGCGTTTTTTGCTTATATACCTTCAAATCTACACCCACTTTCTCTTTTATTTTTCTTAAAACTAGTGCTCTCATGCTCTTTATGTTTTTGTAACCCAGACCCAAATTCTTTTAAAGAGCTTGCTTGATGAAACTAGAATGTGTGCTGTAAGATGTAATATATCTTTGACAACACTGTAGTTGGCAAGTAAATAGGCTATGTTTAATACAGATGCTGTTAACTAACTAAAATACCCAATTAAATTAACCAATCAATATTAAGTTAATATTTTAGACAGCTCTTATTTTTTGTTGTTATGTTAGTAGTTTGTAAAGCCAAAAATATAAGTATATACCATTGGGAAAGTTAGAATAATTAAGCTCATTATTAGCCTTTATCATTGATTTTTCAACATTAGCATGCATCAGAATCACCTGGAGGGTGATTACTAGATCCCATGTCCAGAATTTGATTTCATAGATCTGCAGTGGCCCAAGGTTTGCATTTCTAGCAAGTTCCTAGATGATACTGATGCTGCTGGTCTTAGGACTATACTTTGAGAACCACTATCCTAGATTGTTTTTGGTGACTGAGAATACTACACACACAGATTATTTTCTTTAGTATTGTACAAGGTAAACCATTTTGAGATTTTGTATATATAAAATTATATATGTATGTATATATATCAGTTATTATTATTGGACTTTCTTAGGGTGAGAAAGAGAGGAGAGTTACCAACTTCTTTCATTAGTTTAAGTATGCCATTGTTAAAATATAGGTTGAGGGGAAGCAATACGAGGGTACTTGAAAAGCTTGTGGAAAAAGAGAATTGACAGATAATACAGATCTTTTCATAAACTTTTTGAGGTACTCTTGTATTCTGTGGATATCAATTTGACTTTCTTTACCATATGTAGTCACTAATAGACTAATACAGGTGTCACTAATAGCTGGCTTGCCAGGTTATGATCAGAAAATAACTAGTTAATAGATAGAACATTGCATTTTCAGGAGAGGGTAATGTCAGTAGTGATGTATACCAGTAAGTGCTTTGAAGTCTTTAGCTAAGATTTTAATTCCTTATAATTTAGCCAGTTTTTAAATGTTCAAATATTATAATGTTTCGGAATTTATTTAAAGATTCCAAAGAATCTCCTCATACAAATTCATGCTTCATTTTATACTGTTTTATTGCTACATTTATTTTCATTAGAACTTTTATTTGAAGAGATGGAAATTATGTACTAGTAGAGTCCTTTATCCTCTGTCTGACTTATTAATTAGATATCTTCTGATTTGTTAAATACTTATAATACCTTTCTAATAACTAATGCTCCTTGTTTTTTTAAAGCCCCTGGATGTGGACAAAGATTCATCCCTGGTGACTCTTTGTTATGGACTCTGTGTTCTGGGACGAAGAGCTTTAGGTACTGCATCCCACCACATGTCCAGGTAAAGAAGGCGTTTCTGTTTTCAGGAAGAGAGTATGGGAAGCTGTGTAACTTAATCTGAATCACTTTTCAGGGAAGCATTCATTCTATGCTAATTTATTGCAAAAGTTTCTTTAGATTTTATATTTCTATAGATCTTTTTTGCTGAACATAGTTGAGTTCTACTAACTTGTTAACAGAACTGGCTTTTAAAATTCAAACATGTGTAGGTAGCCATTGGTAATGATAACAACGGATTTTAGACATTTTAAAACGTAATCACCCTGTAAGTTTGATTGGTCTCCTCATTTTTACTTCTGTTTTTCTAACAAATTCACCTATTTTTATTTTTCCATATTTCCGTCCAGTCTTTGTCCAGAGCGTTTACATTTTTAATACAATTATATATTAGATTTTGGACCTCTAAATATAAATTGAATTTCCTGACATATATATCCAAATGAATGAGAATTAAGATATACTGCATATTTTTTATTTCTTCTGTGATAACTACATGTTTTCCATTGGGCCCTCTTTAATTTATATTAACTTATAGACTTTTTGTCTGTTCTTTATTTTGATGGACTCACTATTACACTGCTTCATAAAGAAGGGTCCCATGTCCAACAGGCCCTATCTCTTGTGATTCTGGCTCATGGGTTCTGACATTAGTTCCTGGAATCTGTATTTTTAAAACTCTCCCACGTGATTCTGATGCACAGCCAGATGTAAGAATCAGTGTCATGGAAGACCTTTGTCAAAATATGTGAAATTTTATCTCCAATCTTAACAGTAACTTAGAGTCATTCCTCTATGGATTGCATGCCCTATTTAAAGGAGATTTCCGTATTTCTTCAATTCGAGATGAATGGATCTTTGCTGACATGGAATTGCTAAGAAAAGTAGTAGTCCCTGGAATCCGTATGTCCATCAAACTTCATCAGGTAAGAAGATGAGATTTTTCTAATTCATTACTGGTGTTTACCTGATACTTCTTCACTTGACTTCCAAATTACATTTCCTAGGAACCTTTTGAGAAATATTCTCATCTGAACCAAAGAAAAACATGATTCATGGCAAGATATTAAATCTTAGAAGCCTGAACCTGTCTTCTTAACAGTAAATTTGAATATTAGTATTAGAGGGGTAACTGTCTGGGCATGAACTTGGAGAAGAATTTAAGCAGTGACAAGCAGGAAATAAAGGTTCTCGGTCCCTGTAATACTTGTTTTTTATGTGATTGTAATTCATGCCACTTCCCTGGATGAATATTAGCCAACTACAAATGCAATTTAGTAACACCTCAGGAGTGTTGTAAGTGCTGCTGTTACTGAACTATAAGTTTCATTTAGTCTGTTATATAGAATAAGAGGTTGTTAGGACAAATTTAGCCTTAGTTAAATAAACCTAGTGAAGTAATAATTAAAATGAGCTCCACAGTACATTTCCAAAGCCCTAGGTCATTTCAAGAATATATTATGATATTAAGTACTGGCACTTGCTCCTCTAATCATTCCACTTGACAGTAGTTATCAGATCTGATGAGAGAGACCACATGATAAGATTCATTAAAATGTACCTGCTGTACTCAAATCTGATTGAATCTTTTTTCCCCCCAAATAAAAGTTGAATTACTCTTCAGGTGATTTTATTACAATAGAAAGTGTTGGAATTAAGTTAACATCCCATATTCTTTAGAAGCATTACTTAATAAGGGATATATTATTTGAAAATCTCTGAAAAATGGAATACTGTTTCGAGCATTATGGGGAAAATATTCATTTGGTATCAAATAGAATTGTCCTTCTTCAGGCTAGCTTTAAAATTTTGAGACAAAATTCAATGCTTTTAAAAGAAAAAGATAATTTCAGATTAAAATGTTTTTAAAACTTCAGAAGGGACCAATTATATATCTGTAATGTAAGAAATAGTCTCTTTTATATGGCATAATTATCTTACAGATCCTGAAAAACTTCTTTAATTAATTCTAAATGTTATGGCATATTTTATCTCCATTTGTCTGAGAAGAAACTGAGAACAGAGTTCAAAGCCTGTGCTGCCTTAGGTCTCTGCCTTCAAGTATCCTTGTCTGTTGCTGCCAGGTTCATTTTCTTGTGGCATTATTGCCCTAATATAGGTTCTCTACTTTATATTCTGGCCCAGCATACTTGGATACAGCACACTCCCATCATTAGCCATGACTGACAATGGTTATAAACAGGGAGGGTGAGGATGTGGAATTGGAACTCAGGAGCTATGGAGGGCTGAGGAGAGGAGAGGAGGTTTACATGTGATACGTGCTGAAAATTTTAGTATGTGATCTCCTTGAGAATAGGGTTCATTTCTTATTAATCTTTATATTCTCATTGCATAGCACAGTGCCTGGTGGCCAATAAATGTTTGTTTAATGAATGAGTTTCATTGTTTTTTAAAAAATAATATATCCTGTCCATCTGCTTATAACTTCACAAGTGTATTTCTGAAATGCTTCTGAAAACTTTTACCAGAAGAACTGGAGACATTATTTATTTGAAAAATAATGGAAAATATTAAAATGTAAATATCACCCAATAGTAAACATCTTCTCATCACACCATACCCATTGTACAGTACCCCAAAGAAGCAATCACTGCCAATAATATCATGTATATCCTTTCTGATTTCCCCTAAGTTCATACATTTTTATCTATGTCTATAAATATTTTCCTTTTTAAAAATGTAATTGTGCTGGTCATGGACATCCTGCTTGTTTCAAATATTTTACTAGTGAAACAAAGCTATAATGATGTATATAGAACTTTGCATACTCATTCAACCATTTTAAGCCCAGTGAAAAGAAATGTTTGGATAAGATTAAGCATTCTCCACTTTTGCCATGTCTAATTACTTCCAACTTTATGTCCATTTTATTAGGAATGTGATTATTGCCTGTGTCTGGGCTTTTATTTTTCATTCAAATAATTGTACCAATACAAAGATGGCATTCCTTCCATAATGGAACTGTTTGCTAGGAGAGAGCACATTGTATGACATGTAGATATCTGCTGGTATAGGAAAGAATGAGCTCAGTATTTAAAAGAATGGTTAGGAGAGTTGGTGTACAACATACCAAAGTGAAGAACCGCCTACCAGTATTTTAAGTTCTGACTGCTATCTTAGACCAGGTTCTCTAGAAGCAGGTCAGAGTCCAGGATTCTCATGCAAGAGATTTATTGAGGGGTACACTTGAGAAATTTTTATAAGGAAGTGTTGGAAGCATGATAGAACAAGGGAAGAAGCTAAGCAAAAACATATTTCAGCTGAATTTTAGTCCCACCTGCATTCTAGCAGGAGCTCTGGAGCATGAAATATCAACAGGAGTTATGCTGTGTACCTCCTCACCTCTTTCCCTACAAGCAATAGAGAGTAATTTCCCCTGGCATTTCCAACCCACACAGCTCCATCAGCTGAAGATAATTCTAAGAAGGAACATCAAGACCCAATGTTCAAAGCAATTGAAAGACAAGTGCACCAGCCTAGTAGAATTCTGGACGAGGCACCAGTAAGGTGTTCTGCAGTCTGGCCAAAAGTGGTTTTCTAATTTTCTCACTAGGCTCTAAGTTCCATGAGAGCAGTTCCTCTGTCTGTCTTGTTTACTACTATTTTCTCCAGTGTCTAGCACAGTGCCTGTCAATGTAATAGGCACCCATTTCTTACAAAGAGACTTTATGCTGTGATTATCTTTATCTTTATCACTGACTTTTTATGCTTTTCCCCTGTAGGTTTTCCTGCCTTGAGCCCTTCTCCTTTCCTCACAGTACCCATTTTCATCCACTGAAATTGTATTCATTCTTTAGGATCCAGCCCCAAACCACCTCCATTGTATAGCCTCCCTTAATCACATCAACTAGACTCATCAGTTTTTTCCCATAACTTTTATAATCACATAATTTTTAAAAATCAAATGAAAAAATACTGTAAAAAATGTGGTCAAGTCCTGTCATTACCATTTACTGACTTTCTAAATGTAAGAAGCAGTTAAGCCTCTGTGCTTCAGTTTTGAAACGTAAAATGTGGGTATTATCTGCTCAACCTGCTTGACAAGGTTGTTGTAAGACTCAAATCATGTGTGGGAGAACAGTTCACCGTCTGAGGCATTTTTCACATGCACAGTATTATTCTCATATGTCCCAGCCCCCTGCACTCGGAGGCTGCGTCCTTGGGGGCACTGCCTTCCTACTCCCACTCTTCTCCCCTGCGGATAACACATACTCTGGTCATTGGCCTGAGTACAGATTAGTTACTTCACCTGGATGTAAAAATTTGTCAACCTCCCAACGATAAATATGAAGGCAGCCAGTATGATATTTGCATTTCCTTAATAACACTCACACCATTTCAGAAATTCAGATTTGTGTTATGGTTATTTCAGTGTATGTTCCATATCTTCTGTTAATTTGTAGGTTTATAAAAGGGAGATACATTTCATATACTTTGTTTCATCCTTGCTACCTGCCACAGAATCTTGCACATGGTAAATACTAGATAACTGTTTATCAGTGAAAGAGTAGTTATGCCCAAGCAGCTTTTCAGGGAGGACCTTACTAACTTCTCTAGATCTAGGACCCTTAGTTGCTGCTCAAAGCTCATAGCCTAGTCAAAAAAAACCCACAATATACAGACCTTTTATGTAGTTTTAGCCTTCCTTAACTGATAACAGTGAAATAATCTTTCAGCAGAAAAAAATACATATGTGAATGAAGATATGAAAAACCAACTTGAAAGAGAAAAACAAAGAAAATACGTAAGAATTGGAAATATTTGTTTGTCTAGAACTTAGAGGAAAAGGTTGGATTGAGGAATTTACAAAAGTAGTATAGCAGTAATTAGCTAATTCCTAACCTGGTATGATTGAGAACCTATAATTCATCCATAATAATATAAACATGTTGATATGAAATATTCATATTAAACCAGTTTTTAAGAATTTTCACTTAGTAACTTACTTACTATAGAAGTTGTTATCATTCTGGAAGTCATTCTCTTCTTTTCCTAAAAAAAGATTTTTTTTTTGTTTCTGTATTTAGGATCATTTCACTTCTCCAGATGAGTATGATGACCCCACTGTGCTCTATGAAGCCATTGTATCTCATGAAAAAAACCTCGTAATAGCCCATGAAGGGGACCCCGCATGGCGGAGTGCAGTCCTTGCCAACTCTCCCTCCTTGCTTGCTCTGCGACATGTCATGGATGATGGCACCAATGAATATAAAATCATCATGCTCAACAGACGCTACCTGAGCTTTAGGGTTATTAAAGTAAGTTTTTGAGGCCTTTATTTACATCTATGAAAATGGAGGTTGGATAACTTTATAGACTTTTAAAAGGTGACTGAAACTGTTTTCACAGGGAAAAAAATGACCATACATTAGTGTTCGTTGTTTATGAGCATTTAATTTGACTTATTTTGCCAGTAATTTATTCTGACCTCTAAAATTTTCTCATGTGCCATAAAGCCTTAAAATTTTTGCTTATTTTCAATTTTGGCAATCTTTTATTATATGGCAGGTCTTTTATCTAGTATATATACGATCTGCGCAGCATCTTTTGTAAAAAGTCAGCACCATATTATTAATATTATGTGATTCCTAGGTTGCAAAATAATAGTGTAACTTGTATTTAATTGTGATCAGAAGCTAACTGTAAATGGTTCACTCTAACTTTTCCTTTTTTTTTTTAAACATCTCAGTGCTTTAGGAAGCTTAATTTCTTTCTTTCTTTCTTTTTTTTCCTTTTTGTCTTTTTTACTGACCGGTAATAGAATCGCAACCCTCGGTGTCGTGCCCGTACCAGGGACCGGCAACGGGATCGCAACCCTCGGTGTTGCGCCCGCACCGCGCTCAGCCAGTGAGCAGGAACCGGTCTCCACATGGGATCTGAACCCTCCGTGGGAGCGCCACCGCGCTCCCAAGCGGCGCACTTCTCCATGCGCCACCGGGCCGGCCCAGGAAGCTTAATTTCTTAGATTTTATTTTGATAGTTTGTAATGATTTATTTTTTATCTACATTATTTAATTAACCCCCAAATGTCACAGTCTTTCAACCCTAAATATTGTTATCACTCATTTCTATAAAAAATATCTTTTATCTTTTTTACAAAATTTAGTGCTTCCTATTTGAAAAACTAAATGGATTCCATTTTACTTGATATTTTTACAAGGTAGAGCAGGGAGAGAGCTCTGTAGGTGCTTGTTGTTTAACAGCCTGCTAATGACAAAGGAAAACGCATTACCTCCTATTCAGATGTGACCTACTTATATTTGTTTCCTGCTTTCCACAACTGGTTATCATAGTGTCTTTTGTATCCCTCCCATTTCTGCTCTTCTGTTTCTATGAATTTCATTCTTGGCCCCTTAACTTAATTTCCATGTGTTCTGGTTTTCAGGTAAATAAGGAATGTGTCCGAGGTCTTTGGGCAGGGCAACAGCAGGAGCTTGTTTTTCTACGTAACCGTAACCCAGAGAGAGGTAGCATCCAAAATGCAAAGCAGGCTTTGAGAAACATGATAAACTCATCTTGTGATCAACCTATTGGATACCCAATCTTTGTCTCACCCCTGACAACTTCTTATTCTGATAGCCATGAACAGCTTAAAGAAATTTTGGGGGGACCTATCAGCTTGGGAAATATCAGAAACTTCATAGTGTCAACGTGGCAAAGGTGAGCAGTGGGGTTGCATTTTTCGGTGGTGGTGTATCCCGACCCTCCTTATCTAGGCAGTGTGTATTAGCATCACTTGGGAAGCTTGTAGAAAAAAATACAGATGCCATGGCACAATGTAAACCTAATACATCTAACTTCAGGACATAGAATGTGAGCATTTTTATCTTCATAATCTTATTAATCTAATTTACAACTTTGGTTAAGAACCATTTGGTAGAATCTTGAACAGTTCACTTCTCTTTAATTTTTTTTGACTCTCTAATGTTGCATATTGCTACTCTTAGAATGTGTGGGCCAGCAAACAGGGCAAATTAAGAGAAAAACAAGAAATGTGCAGGTCGATTACTTTCTTCTGTATTGCCATTCTGTTCCGGCACTAGGGGGAGCACTCTGTACATGTTGAAATGCCTGGTTGTGCATTGCAGACATACTGCTGCCTTTTTAACAACCCAGCAATCACCCAAGTCTCAAATCTATAGTTTTCAAGTTTGCACTGAATTTTTTCTCTGCTTTTTGTTTAGTAGATTATGATGTCTGGTGTAGGAACATCATAGTTTGGTGGATGGTGAAGAAAAATTGCAGAACATTGTTTTTAGTTTCTTAAAAGTTGTTCAGATTTTTAAATATCAGAGCTTAAGAAAAACAGGATGTGGCGATTAGAGCAGCAAACTTTCAGATGGGCTTGCTATCAGTCCCTATCCAAACAGAAGGAAGAACATAAGCCAGGGTAATGTTCAAAGAAATTTTCTTTTCAAAAAATATCTGTCGTGCTGGAATTACCTTAAAGAAGTTCTTTACCCCTAAGAGAAATGGCATAGAAAGAGATTGCCCAACTGTCCTGGTTTGCCCAATATTGAGAGAGTTCCTGGGATGCAGGACTCTCATTGCCAAACTGAGACAGTCATGGCCATCCAGGCCAGTTAGTCACTCTACATTTAATAAAAAGAAGAAGTAAAAATGATCGCAATAACTCTGTTTAAGTGCACTACAGTAACAGTAGAAATAAATTAGGTTTTCAGGGGTTGCATACTTCAGAAGAATCACTGAACAGACACTGGCAAGAATTCTAGTTCCAGCTGTGATCTTAATGGTATAACTGTGTTACATATAGTTCTTTGTTATGGTATTAGGAAAAGTGATAGAGTTTATAAAAGTGAATTAGACTGGAAAGATTTGAGGCAGTGAATATAAGAGGGGTATAGTTCTTAAGCTATTCTTTGTAAACATAACAGATTTTTTTTTTGTTCCTAATATTGATTACACCATAGAGACTTTCAGGGGTGAATATTAGTAGCATTAACAGTTCAGAATAGCTGGAAAAAGAATAAAATACCTGTTTGGAAGTGATCTTGGGATAATGCTTCATCCTCTGGTATTTGTTCCTAGGCTAAGGAAAGGTTGCGGGGCTGGATGTAACAGTGGTGGCAATATTGAAGATTCTGATACTGGAGGTGGAACTTCCTGCCCTGGTAACACTACAACAACTGTCAGTGATCCCCACAGTAGTGTGTCCCAGGGAAGCACTGGAAATCCCGGGCAGGGATCAGGAGGTGGACTCCATCCGCCTGTCACGTCTTATCATCCACCACTAGGTAATGTGAAACAAAGTTATGTGTATAGTGTCAGCCTCTGAGCTGTGGGAGCCGCTTAGTATGTGTGTATAAAAAGGATTATATATGATTTACTTGGAAATATATAAATAGAATATTTTGTTTGATTCTCAGGTATACATTATCCCATTTGTTTATATTAATCATTTTATGTGTGCATGTATGTGTATCCTTTTTTACTTGATATTTGACATAAAGATTTTATTCATGATATTAAGGGTTCTTTGAAAATGTTGCTTTTAAAGGCTAATAATATTAGTATAATTTATTTAACTTCTGTTGGACACTGACTTGGTTTCTTCTGACATCATGCTGTAATTATCTTTGTATGAAATTTCTGTAATCACTTATTTTCTTAGGCTGGAATCATTAGGTCAAAACTTATGAGAATAAGAGTCTTGGTATATAATGCCAGAAATCTTTCCAAAAAGTTTTTTTTTACCAGTTGGTACTCTCACCAGTCATATATAGGCATGTGTGTCTCATCAACCTTCACCAGCTTTGAGTATTAACAGTTTCTACCTCTGCTCCCTGCTTGCTCAGGGGGGCAAAAGAAGGCATGGTCTTTAATCTAATTGTTTTAATATGTATTGCTCTGATACCTGAGATGGGAATTTTTTAAATGAGTTTATCAGCTGTTCCTCTTTTTCAAGTTCCTGTTTTGTCTGTTACCTTTTTTTCTATTTGGTTATCTTTTTCATATTGATGTATATTTTGTATTCTGGATTTGAGCTCTTTGTCAGTTTTCTGTCTACAAATATCTTTTCCCATGCTGTCCCTTGGCTCTTCATTCTTACTTTGAAGAGCAACTCGCCTTCTTTCCTTGAGAAGTTCTTAATTTTAGTATAGAGCACTTTACTAATCTTTTCCTTTATGATTAGTACTTTGTATATCCTATTTAAGAAAGATTTTTCTACCTCAAGGCCCTCAAGGCATGCCTTTACTAATTTATGTTTGACATAAGATCTACAGTCCACTTGGTGTGCAGTGGGAAACAGGTTCCATTTGTTTCTATATGGCTGGTTAGTTGATCCAACATTGCCCTTCTCCCCACTGCTTTGCATGGATCAAATGAAGTTTTAAGACATTTACTTAAACATTTTTTTTTTAAAAAACCTGATGGACTGGAAGTAAGATTCTAAATAGACGTGATTGATATCTTGGATGTTCTTCATTTTACTTCTGAGTAAAAACCTAGAACTTTGGGCCGGCCCGTGGCTCACTTGGGAGAGTGTGGTGCTGATAACACCAAGGCCCCGGGTTCGGATCCCACATAGGGATGGCCGGTTCGCTCACTGGCTGAGCGTGGTGCTGACAACACCAAGTCAAGGGTTAAGATCCCCTTACCGGTCATCTTTTTAAAAAAAAAAAAAAACCTAGAACTTTGGGCCGGCCCGTGGCTCACTTGGCAGAGTGTGGTGCTGATAACACCAAGGCCCCGGGTTCGGATCCCACATAGGGATGGCCGGTTCGCTCACTGGCTGAGCGTGGTGCTGACAACACCAAGTCAAGGGTTAAGATCCCCTTACCGGTCATCTTTTTTAAAAAAAAAAAAAAACCTAGAACTTTCAATATGATTCTTTAAATGTACCTTTTGCTCCTACATTGATTAGGTCTTTTTATTTTCAGATAAAAAGTACATGTAGCTATGTTTCCGATACAATTAATGATTATTTTCTAATAATCTTAACATTACTCTTGCGAGTCAGGAAAAAGACAAGTCTGAAGAATTATATCAAGCTACTTGGAAAGGATGCAGAGAAACCTGCTGTTTAGTAACACTGATAATTTGTATTTAGAAGTAATCCCTTAATGTATATGAAAATTACAGTGTGGTATTCCCTGTTTCTTTATAGGCATTGTAGCTTGTCATTGAAATAGATTGAAAGGGCAGTAATACTATACTAAATAGTAGTTACAGAGCTTGCCACATAGTAGGTCCTTAAGAAATGTTTCTCTTTTTAATTGACAAAAATTATACATATTCATGGTGTACAATGTAATGTTTTGATATACAAATATATTGTGATATGGTAAAGTCAAGCTAGTTAACATATCCATCACCTCACATATTTAACCATTTTTCTGTGGTCAGAAAATTTTAAATCTACTCACTTAGCAATTTTCAAGCATACCATATATTATTATTAATTACAGTCACCATGCTGTACAATAGGTCTCCAGAACTTACTCCTGTCTAACTGACAGTTTGTACTTTTTGACCAACATCTCTCCCATTCCTCCCCTCCCCTCCTCCAGTCCCTTGTAACCACTGTTCTACTCTCTGCTTCTATGAGTTCGACTTTTTTATATTCTACATGTAAGTGAGAGCATGTAGTATTTCTTAATAAGTATTTCTGACTATCTCATTTCCACGAGATATTTTATTTCTGATATAATAAAGAGATATTGTTGTTATTCTGAAATATATATGTGAAAGATATTTTTGGATTTATTCTGTCCTTAAATCTTAATATTTGCTGTAAATTATTTAATTATGTCTTTCTTATGTTCCAGAATTTAAATTTTAAAAACCTTAGCACATAAAAATTATATTATAAAAACCACAGAAGAAAACAGATCTCAGATATTTATTTCTTTTTGATAAGTTTTAAAGTTTTAGGTATAAATATTAAGTTCTATAAATTTGCCAGGTAATCACTTAAGGGAGAAAGTCTTAAGACTTTCTAGAAACTACAAAACAAAAGCACTGTATTTGAATCATTCCACTTTGAATGAGTGTTGCTGCTGTTTCTCCTCCTAGGCACTAGCCACAGCTCTCACTCTGTACAGTCAAGCCTGGTCAGACAGTCGCCTGCACGGGCCTCAGTAGCCAGTCAGTCTTCCTACTGCTACAGCAGCCGGCATTCATCTCTCCGAATGTCCACCACGGGATTTGTGCCTTGTCGGCGCTCTTCCACAAGTCAGATATCACTTCGAAACTTGCCGTCCTCCATCCAGTCCCGCCTCTCTATGGTGAACCAGATGGAACCCTCCAGTCAGAGCGGCGTGGCCTGTGTGCAGCATGGCCTTCCTTCTTCCAGCAGCTCCAGCCAAAGCATCCCAGCCTGCAAGCATCACACTCTCGTGAGCTTTCTTGGGACAGAGGGAGGTCAGAGCAGCACCACCGATGCACAGCCAGGCAACACCTTAAGTCCTGCCAATAATTCACATGCCAGAAAGGGGGAAGTGATTTACAGAGTCCAAGTGAGTAAGCCCACAGGTCTTCTTGTGCTATTTCTGTTACTCATTTGTTTTTATTTCTTATTTGTTGAGTGAAGGACTCTTGTGAAAACACACCTTATATAACTTAGTCAGACTAGAACATTTTTGAGTGTTGAAAAAATTGTTTCTGCCAGCTTAAAAACTGAAAGCAAATAGTTTTTGTAGTGATATCTGTTCCCTGTTCAGCCATTGTCACATGGCCATTGTAGTAAGGATGGCCAGTGGCTAAAACGAATTCAGGAGGTGGCTCTTTCAGTTTTTTTGTATTCCGTTATAGATGGTGGAGAACTTGAGACACAGAGAGTCCTGTGAAAGAAGTTTTGTTTGTGATAGTATATAACTTTTCATCATTAAGAAAAAAATGAATTGGAAATGATCCATATTTATTTACAATATAGATTGTGGATCCTAGTCAAATTCTAGAAGGGATCAACCTGTCAAAAAGGAAAGAGCTGCAGTGGCCTGATGAGGGGATTCGATTAAAAGCTGGAAGAAACAGCTGGAAAGACTGGAGTCCTCAAGAGGGCATGGAAGGCCATGTAAGTTCTCTTATGCAGCTGTTTGGTGCTCTGGCTTTTTTGTAGTCCGCCTTACTGATAATGTATGAGTTTAGCTGATTTATATACTTATGCTTAATTCTTAAACAAAATTACTACCTCTAATGCTAAATGAGGAATATGAGTTTGTGAGTACAGTTGTCCCTCAGTATCCGTGGGGGATTCATTACAGGGCCCCCTCAGAAACCAAAATCTGCAGATACTGGGCTAGCTCAATTGGTTAGAGCACAGCCTTATAACATCAATGTCATGGGTTCAGATCCTCGAACCCAGCAGCTTACCACCTCCCCCTGACAAAACCCAAAATCTGCATATGTTCAAGTCCTTGATATAAAATGGTGTAGTATGTGCATAACCTACATACATCCTCTTGTGTATTTTAAATCATCTCTATATTATAATACCTAATACAATGTAAATGCTTATGTAAATAGTTGTTATATTATTTAGAGAATAATGACAAGAAAAAAAAGGCTGTACATGTTCAGTACAGATGCAGGTTTTTTCCAAATATTTTCAATCTGCAGTTAGTTCAATCTATGGATGCAGAACCCACAGATACAGAGGGCTCACTGTACATTCCAGGTCTCCACACTAAATTCTTGTTTTATATTGAATCATTAGGTGATTCACCGATGGGTGCCTTGCAGCAGAGATCCAGGTACCAGATCCCACATCGACAAGGCAGTGCTTCTGGTCCAGATTGATGATAAATATGTGACTATAATTGAGACTGGGGTACTAGAACTTGGGGCTGAAGTGTGAGCTGGTGTTTATAGCTACATTTCTTTCCCTCTCGATTCCAAAAGGTTGGCAAAAGAGAGGAGCGAACAGATTCCTGCAGCGAGCAGAAGATTCCTGCAGTTGTCACTTTGATCCTATGTGGGAGAGACTTGAAAACAGAGTGGGCTTGGTTAAGCGCCTGTCCTTCGCCCTTCACCCTGACTCCTGTCACTGTCTCCATCCCCAAATAAAGCTGAAATATTTTTTTAAGTTAGCTGCCAAGAAAACACTTTGCATGAAGGATAAAGTTTTGTTAAAATACATCCTTAAAAAAGGTTTTTCCTATGCATTGCCTATGCTTTAAACCAACAAACACTTCATTTCTAAACTATGATCTCATATTTTTCTAATTTCTTTGCCAAAAATAATTGCCATGTTTTGTCATACAACATGAACTCCAGTTACCTTGATTTTTAAAAACAGACCAGTGTAGAAATGTTCAGTTTGACACATAGCAGTATAAAAGTTTAATGTACAGTGAAAGAGACTATGAACAGACATAGATTTATCTAATTCCTTGAGCGCTAAAAACTTTAATGAAAAAAACTGCACTAATTTTTTACACCAATGCACTAAAGTCTGAGATTTCTCAGAACATTTATTTATATATAAAAATAAAATCCATTATTTAAATTGCCTTTGGGATTAACCCCTTCCCTTTCCTTGTAAACATAGGTAGCAGGAACTGTGCTGCTCATTTTGTGTTAGTAGTGTGTACTTTATGCCAGTACATTGGATGTTTTCTTTAAAATGAATATTAAATCTCAAGATATACATAGCTTCATCATTGACTTTTCCCACAGCTAATAGCCAGTGAATCGGTCATGTGAACACTACTGCCAGCTACTGTGTCCACATTTCAGATGAGCTCTGACACAGAGTGTGTCCCACCTGCTCTGCTTCTCTCCATGTGGGGCAGGCTCTGCTGGGATCGGTTTTGGGAAGAAAACACTTTTGCTTTTCAAAGAAGATGATGAACGTCCAGGGATTTAAAGAAAGGATTATCACCTTTTATTTATTTTTAGAGTTCCTAGCTCTTTAAGTTATTTACATGCAGTTAATCAGTAAAATATTTTTTCAAATAAAATTATCATCCAAATGGTGCAGTTCTTATTGTTATATCCCCTTTAATAACTTGGCTTTTTATTTCCCCTTTCTCTTCTTTTTCTATTACTTGAATTTTATTTCCTGTAATTTATAGTGTGTAGGTGTAATTTGAAATATTTATAACTGTGAAATTGACTTAATTCATATGTTGTGTCATAACTTAAATTTTATTGGTTTTTTTAAAAACATGTATTCAGGGAAATATATAACTCAGATTTACAGTTGGGCTACATGGGAACTGCAATTTAGATTTAATTTGCAACTTCTAGCATTTTTTTAAAAATCTTAAGAAAATTTTCCCTTTTGGTGTGAAACTCCAAAGAAAATTGTACATCTCTGAGCATTTAGGAGCAGCCATCTTTCTGCACACCATGTATAGATACTAAAAAGAAGCAAGTAAAATTAATTTTAGTACATTTCATTTAATGCAGTATATTCAGAGTGTTACAATTTCAACATGTGGCACTAGCCATATTTCAGATACTTAATAGCTACATGTGCCTAGTGGCTACTGTATTAGACAGCACAGGTTTAAAGTATCTTTTGATGTGGTGACAGGAGAGAGAAGCTGTTTTCCCTACTAATTCTGATGTAAATCTCACAGTATAGCATACTCTTATAGTAGAAAGAATGAAAACTAAGAGAGTAAATAGCTAACATACAGAATCTAACAGCATTTTTATTTCAAACCTGTATTTTCCCTTTTTCTAATTTAAAATTTCTGTGGTCATTGAAAACCTAATGTGCCTTGTGTTGGCCTTTCCCTAGACTTCACACTTTGCAAGATTTACAGTTTAAAAATACTTTTCAAATGATTTGCTGAAACTTTATACAAAAATACCCTTTCTAAATTGACCATTTAGAAATGTATTTTCCTGATACTGTCATTGTATTCTGTATTTGCCTCATTTTGGCAAACTACAATATACCATTAAATTTCAGTGTCTTTTTTTTTTCCTGAAACAATATATGATCTATCTATATACATATATTTTTAAAAATCTTAGCAAAGGAATTATGCTTCCTGCTGCTTATTCTCTTTCTGAAATGAATATGATCTTTTCATGGTCATTGCCTAGATGAGACATAGTGGAATCTTTTCAGTCTCAGATGGGAGATAATTCATTTTCACACAGAGAAGAAAAATCTGAACTTCACATTATTCAGTCAGAAGGGCTCAGATTCTTTTTATTCCTAGCTCCTTCCCTCCAAAATTGTGAAACACATTACATACTCTGAAAAGTCAGATTTCCAATGCAAGACTAGATTTTATATGGAACATATATATTGTGTCTTAATTCTGGGTAGCAGTTGATGGACATTTTTCTCAAAGCAAGTTGAATTTTAACTAGTGAGTTTATTATAATTAGGAACCCTAAGAGAAGCCCTGTTCTTATTTTTGAGTCGAAAATTGGTATTTCTTTTAAAAATTACAATACTTTTCTAATAGTTGCATCAGGCGAAATAGTGATAAATGAAGAAAGATTCTTGTCTTAAGAATAATTTGACCTAATTAATTATATAGAAATAAACACACTTTCATTAATTAAGTTGATAAGAAATATTTTGTTCCTGCTCCCACCCCCCTCCCCACCTTGGAGAATAATGAGCTGTTTGTTTAGATTCTCTGCTTAACCTTTGTCATTAATGTACAAGACTCTGGCATACATTAGTGTCTTTAGTTCATAAACGCCAAAACTTTCAGAGTTCCATAATTTGAAAGTAAAAAGGTGTAATTAAAACACCAGCTTTTTATTCATTTCCTTTAAATAGAGTTGCATGATTGAAAGCTTTCTGTTTTGTCTTGTTTTTGTTTTTCCTCTTGAGTGAGTTATAAATTGTTGCCTTTTCTTTATTCCTCCCTTTCATTCAGTGGCTAAAAACAATTTATAACTGCAAATTAAGCTTTTGGTTAATCTTCTAATTTATACCTTGGTGTGAACTTTCTTTCAACACCATTTTTAATACTTGATAAAACTTTAAATATTGACTTTTTGCTAAAGAGCTTTAATTTCCTAAAGAATCTAAATTAACATAATATGTTGATATTTAAGGAACTTGAGAGAATATGAGATGAGGAACTTGAGATGAAGCTGTACATATATTTTTTAAGATAAGAGGAGATTAAATTTGTTCACCAACTCCCTAAAATGTAATTAATCAGTGTTCTGCCTTCTTTGGGTTTCCACTACTGGAGGGTTAAATTTCATTAGTTTTGAAGTATTTTGAAAAATATTTCCAATATATCTGAATACTTCTAATCCTTGAAACAGAAATAGACGGTATTTCTCTTAAGTGAGAGATGGAAAATTACTCCCATGTATAAATGTCAAGCAATGAAAATACAAGTTTTTGTGTAGGAAACTCATTAAGAAGATGTATTTTTCTTTCTGGATTGGTTTATTTTTCCATCTCATATCAAAATATAAAAAACAGCCTCACATTTTAGCAAGGGTAACTTAGCCTTAACGAATTCCACTTTGCTTTTGAGCAGCACCCTTCTGCCTCTGCTTAGCAACTCTTCATTTGATGGATTGCTTTACCGAGTTATTGTCCAGAACTGGGTCTTTTAAAATTATGATTTGCTCAATGTCTAAAATTCTCTTTCTTTTTGCTGACTTCCAAGCATCCCTCCTGAATAAATATGTGACTTAAGAAAAAGATAATTGTAATTTTGTGTGAGAATTCTTTGAATTTATTTTTTACTAGCTACTAAACTATGAACTGCTGCCCAGATTGTTAATTACATTTATATTTATTTTTAAATTACTTCTTCATGAATATGGACAAAGCCCTTTCTGGGGTTATTTGTTAAAGTCCACAATATTCAGTCTCATCCTTTTTTGTAGTATGATGTAATCATGTAAAGTTACCTTGTCTGTACACAGACCCAGTTAAGTTTTTCTTTTGATATGATATATTGTTCTGATAAGGCATAAAATACCTCTTTTTATTCTAGAGGCTTTTACTTTAATTCCAAGATGATTAGAGAGAATGATGTCAATCAAGGCTAAGATGATGGTACATGGAACCTGCAATGTACCTGTAAATGGACTTTGAACTTTCTGTGTCAGTCTTACGTGGATATTGAGCTTTATTGATCTGGAGAAAGATGAAAATTAGATACTACCATGTATTTAGGCAGATAAATTTTAATATTACATTGTATATGTATAGCTTTTTAAAATTAAGTATTAAAAACCCAGCCCCTCTTTTTTTTTTTTTATTTCTCTTTCTTAAAAATCTGGTTGATATATACACTCAGGCTGTTTCATTTTTAACTTGTTAAATGTTTAGGTAAGAAGAGTAATTGGAACGGAATTAATTATTATACAAAGAAATCTGGTAGGATAAGAGTGGAATATCTTGCTTGAAACATAAATATATTTTCTACTTTGAATCACCTCACTAGGGTCATCTGTCAAGAATTATGTGTGTGAAGAATTTCTCTTTATTGCCTATAAGCCACATATTCTTTCTGAATTAGGGTAAATTCAACCTATTTGTGAGTTGAACTTCATTATCTGACACTTTATGGAATCAACATAACATTTTTTAGGGGAACTAGACCTGATTGTCACTGCAAGGTTATAGGACAACTTTGTTCTAAGACTTATACCTATTATATAGGGTTATACTTTTTTTTTATGCCTCAGTTCTATACCTGACAATTTATGATTCAGTGGAGCCAAGCTAGAAGGAACAAAAAGGTCATCTAACACTGTGATGAGGATGAATTCCTGGTGTTATCTGTACATGTAATGTGATACCCTGGAATTCAAAACAGAATAATAATAGAGAATGAGATGGCTGCTCCAGATGACTCTTGGGTTTAGTGTATTTGTGGTTGAACAAGATTTTTTATATATGAAGCTTCATAATACAACCAAAATAATAGAAATGTGGGGAAAGTCATGTCTGCTTATGCTTTCTAAGAGCTTATAGTTTAAGTAAAAGTAAATTGTAAAAAACTGATAATTCTATTCAAGTCTGGCAATGAGCTCTGCATGAGGAAATGGAACGAAAACTAATAAAAATGATTCTAGAAAAGTAGGTCTGAGGAAGGAAAATGGGTATCCCTTTTCTGATTATGGGCTCTGGAAAGTATTCATTGCCTTTACCAGCATTCAGTATAAACCAGAGGAAAGAATATATGTACTTGCGTGTGTCTGTGAGAGTGTGTGTGTCTGAGTGTTATTCTAAACAGCTTGTAAATATTGTAGTTGTTTAAAATGGAAAATAAAAGCTGAGTTTTGTTTTTCTTTTTTTGGCAAATATATTGCATCAAAAATACAGTATTGACAGTGGATAATACACTGAGGAAATAAAAAAATTTTTCATTTTGCCTCCTGTCCATTTTTGTCAAATTAAGAAAAATTAGAGTATGTTATATTAAATTTCATATGACATATTCTTAAAATGTACTTGGTTCTGAAATAATCATTTTAAACAGAAGCTTTGGCCTATAAACATGTGATTCAGCTCAATAGATCAGAAGTGTGAAAGATCAGAAGTGAAAATCTCACATTTTTTTAAATGAAATATTAGATGGAACATGTAGGATGATAAAAATGTCTATCTGTTTAATTACACACTAAATTACAATACAGAAAAGGAAAGAACATTTGGATTATGGTCATTAAAATCAGGCAAGTACTAACTTCTTTAGTATACCTGGGGTGTGTGCTAGCCCAGTGATTTTAAATATAATACTTAGAATGCAAGCTGATTTACAGTGAGAACAGGTATGCTCTTGATTAAATCACTTAGTAAGCCTTATATATACCATTTTAACTATGATTTAGTAACAGCCAGAACCAGCAGGATATAGATTATTTGCCTTCTGCATCAGAGTCCCAAACAATTTGCTATTTTCCTTCTGGTATCACAGTGGCACAACTGGAATTGTAGTGGTACTTAGCCTTAAAGGATAACATTTTTCTATAGTGACAGAAAACATGCTTGTTAAATGCAACACATCTTCAAAGAAAGGAATTCCTTGTGTAAGTGAATTGCATTTATCTTGGAGCCAGAGATTCAAAAGCTGTTGACGTGAAATTTGGGTCCCATAAAATCTCTTCCTTGTTCTTAAAGTGCAGTTTACTTAGGATTTTCCTCTTAAAGGATCCAAAAGTGCATGGTCAGTGAATCTTGCTATATAAATGCATTTTCTGGAGTAGAGTGGGAAGCAGCACTTTGTTAGTTAGGACGTGCCTGAACTGTGGCTTCCTGGTTATTCAAAATCTATTTTATTTGTCCTCCTTGATGCTTATCAAAGGCAACTAAATATAATTAAACGTCATACCTTGGAAAACCATAATTTGATGCAAGAAGATCCCTAGATTGCTTCGTAATTTCTCAAGATATGCATTAACAGCAGGTGGCTACAGATGAATCTATATTGTCTGCAAGACTCTTAAAAGACCATTTTCAGTGCCTAGTAAACTGTTGCAGCAAATGCTCTGGGACTGTATCAGATAAAGTCAACATACCAGGATGGCACTGAGCTTAAGCAGATACCGGTAGTGTCTCTGTGTATTTGCAATACTGTTAAGGAGTTTACTCTCACACACAACCCACCACTTCTCATTCTATGCCAATTAATAATACAATATGCCACAAATGTTGCAGTGGTAACTCTACCGTGTAGTACAAATGTCTAAAGTAAGTTGCACCTTTGAATAATCAAAATACAGATTTGTCTGGCTTATAAATTTAGGGGTGACTCCTTTTGTTCATTTGCAATATGAATTAACATTTCTTGAAATAATGAGTTCTACAATATTTACTTGGGATATTTGCAGTTGTAAGGAGCAAAAACCCAGTTCAAAGTTGCTGAAACAGGGAATTGGCTCACCACAAAATGAAAGGTAGACTGGGCTTTCAGGATTGGTTTATTCATGTTACTCCAGCCCTGTATATCTGCAATTTTCTCAACTTCACCCTCTTGTGTGCTGGCTTCAATTTCAGGCAGGAGCCAGCTGTCTGTAGTTCTGGACCCCATTCCATATATGTCATCATTCAGAAAAAGAAAAACGACTTCCTATTACCTATTGAGAGGAAAAATTTTCCAGAAGTCTGAGCATATTTCTCCTCGCATCTCATTAATATAAGATTTGACACACACAAGATTCTTAACTTATTCCTATGTCTTGATTTTCTAAACTGACCACTGCAAGCTACATAGAATTACCATGACTGGTTCTGACAAATGGGAGCCCAGCCCTTAACCCAGAGTTCATTCCTGCATTTTGCTGTATGTAGTTGCTTCACAGTGCATACAAAGGAGTTGACCACAATGTCCGCCACAGATCTGGACATAGCTTTCCTGAAGTTAAGTATTGTTTTCAAGAAACAAAGACTCATACCACCTAAGAAATGAGGTGTTTCTTTTAGAATACCTTTGTAGCAGACCTAGAACAGAAAGTCAACAGAAACTGAGGTGGACATAGGTCCAGTGTTCTCTCTTTTTCGCAGGGGCTGCTTTATATCTCGTGACGCTTCTGTTTTTCTCCATGTAAATTATTTCCTTCCTTGAATAATTGGAAAAAATTCATCAATGACACCAGCTGGACTTGGAATTACCTTTAGGAGAAGGCTTTTAATTGTGGATCCCATTTCTTTAAGAACTATTCATATTTTCTATTTACTGTTTTAGGCAGTTTTGATAAGTTGGGATTTTCTAGGACTGCAGTTCTTAAACTTTGGTCTCAGGATGCCTTTACACTTTAAAAAATTGGGAACCCCCAAAGAGCTTTTGTTTATGTAGTTTATACTTACTGATATTTATTACATTAGGAATTAAAATAGACATTTTTTTTTCCTTTTTGTCTTTTTTCGTGACCGGGAACGGATCGCAACCCTCGGTGTTGCTCCCGCATCTCTGTATGTGGGATCCGAACCCTCGGCGGGAGCGCTGCCGCACTTCCCAAGCGGCGCACTGTAGCAGTGCGCCACCGGGCCGGACCTAAAATAGACATTTTAAAGATATTATTTCTAAATGAATTAACATTACATGTTAACATTTTTATTTAAAATAATGCTTTCAAGTTTAATTGTATAAGACATCTGGACCAATATTTTCTTCTGCGTACATTCTGTTGCATTATATTATTTTGGTTGAAGTATATGAAGAAAACCCAGCCTTATACATATTATGTGGGTGGAAAAGAAAAGAGTCTTTTAATAGTCTTTTCTGATAAATAGGTATTCTTATTTTGATACTACACTAAAATTTAACAAGTTGTAGTTTCTTAATGGTTAGCTGCAATGTGGAATCCCGTTTGTTCTGGGTTACATTAAAATATGTTGATTTATCTTACTTGGAATGGATCTTTTACCAGTGCTTGATATTGTAACATCATTTATTGGTCATTTAGAAAGTATTGGTTCCCTGAGTTATGTAAATCTTCTAAATGTTGATATATTTCATTATACAATATTTAAAAATCACATTTGTTCATATCAACATTTATCTAATCAAGTACACCTTTAATGGGAAACTATAAAGCTCAGAGTGGCAGATACAAGTTTTCTACAATTCTAATTTTTGCTTGAAAGCTCAGATTTTATCATTGGCAACAACTACCAGTTTTTTGTGGGGTTTTTTTTGAGAAAACATCTGTCAAATACTGAAGTCTGAATAATTATATAGTTTGTCTCATAGTCATTCAAGTAAAAATGGCATTCCATGAAAAAAAAAAAAGGGACTAGCTTAGCTCATAATTACACAAAGGCTTTTCTTTGAGAAAACTATACTTTGGTATGCTGAAGAAGTTCTTTGTGCATCCTTCCCATTTTGCCACAAAGAATATTAACAAGGTGTGTTCTGAAGGAACAAGATTTAATAAAGTTAATATTTTTTATTACTTCATCAAGGACATTCTTAAGTGAAGTTGATTCTTGCCCTGTGAGTACATGGTGGTAAAGAATCCAGTGTCAGTATAGTGTGGTGCCATTGCCTTGATTCCTGCTAAGACACCAGCAGTTTTACCGCTGCTTTTGCACAACCGTTGCAAATGTTAATACAATTAATAAAAGGGCATATGATGTGTTGGTATAATGAAAATGATTTTGACCTCATGGTTTACCTAATGAGGGTCTTGGGCACCCCCAGGTGTCCACAAACTATATGTTAGAGTCGCTGTTATAGGAATTCATCCATCTCTTTTCATTTTCAAATTTATTGGCATAAAGTAAGTCATAATGTTCTTTCACCTTTGTAGTGTCGTAATATCTGTAGGATGTCCTCTTTTTCATTCCTGGTACTGGTTATTTTTGCCTTTGCTTTCTTAATTAAGCTCAACAAGAGATACACTTTTTGAAGATCCAACTTTTGGTTATGTTGATCATTTCTATTGTTTTTGTTTGTTTTACTTTATTGATTTCTGCATTTATATTTGTTCCTTCTACTTTCTTCTTACTTAGTTTGCTATTCTTTTTTCTAGCCTCTTGAGATAGGCACACATTTCTTTAGTTTTCAGCCTTAGTTCTTTTCTGTTGTATGCATTTATGGTTATAAATCTCTCTGTAAGCATCGGCTTTAGCTGTGTCACACAAGTTTTGATATGTTGTATTTTTATTACCAATCATTCAAACTGTTATCTAATGTCCATTATGAGTTCTTCTTTGACCCATGGATTAATTAGACCCATATTGGTTAATTTCCAAGTATTTAGGGATTTTCTATTTATCATTTTGTGTTTACTGCTTTACTGTGGTCAGATAAACTCTAGATATTAATCCTTTGAAATCTGTTTAGCCTTAATTTGTGGCTCAGTTTATTGTCAATTTTGATAAATGTTGCAATGGGCATTTGGAAAAAAATAATGTATTCTGCAGTTATGAAAGCCTTTTATACCTTATATATCAATTAATTTAAATTTTTTATGTTATTCAGATTCTGTATATTTTTATTGGTTTTTTTTTTTTTTTTGGTCTATAGTTGAAGATTTATTTCTCCTTTTAGTTCCTTCAATTTCTGATTCATATATGTTGAGACTATGTTATTAGGTGCATATAAATTTGAAGGATTTGGGGGATGAATTTACTACACCTGCCAGTGACAAATTTCTTGAGTTTTTATTTTTCTTGGTGTGAAAATGTGTTTTGGTATGAAAATGTCTCTTTTTTTCATTTTTGAAAGATATTTTTATGAGATACAGAGTTCTGAATTGACAGCTATTTTCTTTCTGCAGCTCAAAAGAATTATCCCGTTGTCTTCTGCCATCCATGGTTTCTTTGGTCCTTATTGCTCTTTTTTTTTTTTTTTTTTCCTTTTTTTTTTTTTTTCATGACCGGCAACGGATCGCAACCCTCAGTGTCGCGCCCGCACTGGACCGGGACC